AAAAGCAAATGACAGGTTTCTTCTCACTCCGCTGCATGAACAGTGCTAAACCCTTGAAATGCTCATAAAGGTCACAGTGCCCAACTTTAATATCTTGGATGTGGAAAGAGAGATTGTAAAGGATCATATTGATTTGCATGAACTTTAAAATGCCATCAAACAGCTCAGAGGTTATATCTTAAATGCAGCATTAAAATAGAAACAGACAAATAAAACCATATGTTTAACTGTGATGTTCGATTTGATTATCAAAAACACGTGGGTTTTTCCCCCTTGTATCCAGCTTTCTCCTGAATCACTGGAGTTTCAAATCATCCAGTACTTTCCTTCCTCTTATAGTTTTCTGTAGGACAGCCTCAAGTAATGGAGTAAGTAATAACCGTGAAATTTTAATGAATACTCAAGCCAGTTTTCCTTCCGGTTGCTAGGAGCTTGGACTTTTTTAAACTATGGAAAACTAGACAGAGTTTAAGTTTCATGGAATAGAAAGGTAGACCCGGCCGGGCGCGGTGGCTCAAGCCTGTAATCCCAGCACTTTGGGAGGCCGAGACAGGCAGATCACGAGGTCAGGAGATGGAGACCATCCTGGCTAACCCGGTGAAACCCTGTCTCTACTAAAAAATACAAAAAACTAGCCGGGCGTGGTGGCGGGCGCCTGTAGTCCCAGCTACTCGGGAGGCTGAGGCAGGAGAGTGGCGGGAACCCGGGAGGCGGAGCTTGCAGTGAGCTGAGATCCGGCCACTGCACTCCAGCCTGGGTGACAGCGAGACTCCGTCTCAAAAAAAAAAAAAAAAAAAAAAAAAAAAAGAAAGGTAGACCCTGTACTTTTGGTACCTCATCATAAATTTATATCTTCATGGGCTTCTCTTGGTAAGTAAAATTATAATTTAGTTTGACAAGTTGGAAAATTATGTCTAATAAGAGCACTCTGGACACTGCCACACATCATTCATATTGGTAAATTGGATGGATGGATGATTTCCTTCTAACATAAAATGTCAAATTAATCTATGCTGGGAATGCCAGTTCAGGCAGGGGGACCTTAGCTGTATCACTCAAGTCTGTTTTGATAGCATCCCCAAATACCACTGTTTTTATATTGAAAGCATACTTTATATGCTTTTGAAGTAAGATATCTACCACCACTGGATTGCATGCGAGAAATGTTACAGGGAGAAGAATGAAGTGGCATTGCTGTACCCAGTTATGCTTCAGTGCTTCAGAATTTCTGTTACCAAATTTGACTTTTAACAATCATATGGGCCGGGCGCGGTGGCTCAAGCCTGTAATCCCAGCACTTTGGGAGGCCGAGACGGGCGGATCACGAGGTCAGGAGATTGAGACCATCCTGGCTACCAAGGTGAAACCCCGTCTCTACTAAAAAATACAAAAAACTAGCCGGGCGAGGTGGCGGGCGTCTGTATCCCAGCTACTAGGGAGGCTGAGGCAGGAGAATGGCGTAAACCCGGGAGGCGGATCTTGCAGTGAGCTGAGATCTGGCCACTGCACTCCAGCCTGGGCGACAAAGCAAGACTCCATCTCAAAAAAAAAAAAAAAAAAAAAAAAAAAAAAATGAACTTTTCATAAATTCCACATAAAACTAATTATGGATTTTATCAAATTTTTATAAATTTTGTTTCAGGAAGAGATTACTTAAGTTTCTCCTAGGAATGGTAATTTACCTGGGAGACCAAATTGTAGTGCAGCAAATTAATTTGACCAATACAGGTTGAGCATCCCTAATCCAAAATTTTGAAACATTTTCAAAAGAAATGCTCATTGGAACATTTCAGATTTTAGAATTTTGGACTGGGGATGCTCAGCTGGTATTCTGCAAATATGCCAAACTCCCGAATAATCTGAAATCTGAACACTTCTGGTTCCAAGTATTTCAGATGAGGGTTACTCAACCTGTAATATAATCACATTATACTAATTTGAAGGAGTAGAAAATAATGATCTTAAATTTTTATTAAAATGTGATGGAAAAAAATTAAGTGTGTCAAAATTCTTAGAAGACCTTATCTAACCTACGTGAAAGTTCTGATTATTCGACAAAACTGAAACTTGTTTTAAGACACAGATAATGTCTGATTTCCCAAATCAGTGGTTTGTGCTCCTTTCTCTACCTTGATATGCAAATGGTGTGTTCACACAGGTGACATGACAGGCTGTAGGTGACATGCAGTTCCCAGTGGTAGACTGCGTTTAACTCAGTTTCTCTTCCTAGAAAGCATGCCCAAACACAAATGAGCGAGAATGATGTTGCAGTAGGAATAACCTTGAATCTTATGTTTTTAATAGTTACCAAAAAATACTTCTTCAAAATGGTCATTTAACCTTTATAGTCAAAATATCTTGGGGTATGTTCTTGAGATTTGCAGATCCACTATACAGTGGTTAATTCTCAGCTTCTTGTGTATGATGATGGAAGTGGTGAAGGCAAGGAAAGGGGAAAGTAATGGGAGCAGGAGACAATGAGACAAAGGAAACATTAGCTCCAGCAGAAATGCCAATGTTTTGCTATTTTACATAAAATGTAGGGACTTTGTAACCATATAGGTCCATTTAACCATCTGCCATTTTTTCCTACAGTTGTCATATTTATTGCAACTACATGCAACTACAAACCTTGCAAGACAATGTCTGTTATTATTTTTGCTTTGAGAAATTAAGAGCAAGTCTTTGCTATTGTGAATAGTGCTGCGATAAACATATGTGTGCGTGTATCTTTATAGTAGAATGATTTATAATCCTTAGGATGTATACCCAGTAATGGGATTGCTGGGTCAAACAGTATTTCTAGATCCCTGAGGAATTGCCACACTATCTTCCACAGTGGTTGAAATAATTTACACTCCTACCAACAGTGTAAAAGCGTTCCTATTTCTCCACATCCTCTCCAGCATCTGTTGTTTCCTGACTTTTAATGATTGCCATTCTAACTGGCATACACCATGGAATACTATGTAGCCATAAAAAAGAATGAGTTCATGTCCTTTGCAGGGACATAGATAAAGGTGGAAACCATCACTCAGCAAACGAACACAGGAACAGAAAACCAAATACCGCATGTTCTCACTCATAAGTGGGAGTTGAACAATGAGAACATTTGGACACAGGGAGGGGAACATCATACACTCGGGCCTGTGGAGGGATGGGGAGCAAGGGGAGGGAGAGCATTAGGACACATACCTAATGCACATGGGGCTCAAAACCTAGGTGATGGGTTGATGAGTGTAGCAAACCACCATGGCACATGTGTACCTATGTAACCGACATGTGCTGCACATGTATCCAGAACTTAAAAATTCTTTATATGTACTCAGATATTTACGTTTATAATGTTCTTCATTCCTTCCTAAAGATGTACGTTTCCCTCTAGTGTCATCTCCTGATAGCCTGAATAACTCCCTTTAGCACAGGTCTGCTGGCAATGAATTTTTAGTTTTTTATAATCTGAAATGTCTTCATTTCACCTTCATTCTTGAAGGGTATTTTCACTGCATATTCTGGGTTGAACAAGTTTGTTTTCTCAGCACTCAAAGGATGTCATATCACTGTCTTCTGGTTACTGTGGTTTTCTGATGAGAGGTTTGTGGTTATTAAAATCATCCTTTCCCTGTATATCATGTGTAATTTTTCTCTCCTTTCAGGATTTTCTCTTTAGGTTTCAGCAACGTGACTATGACATCTGTAGGCATTTTGTGTATGTGTGTAGTTAGCCGTTTCGGGCTTGCTAAACTTCTTTAATCTGAAAATGTATTTCTTTCACTACATTTTGGAAGTTTTCAGCCATTGTTTTTTCAAATATATTTTTCTGCTCCATTTACTGTCTCCTGTCCCTCTAGAACTCCAAGTACCAGACCTTAGACCTCTGATATTAGCCCACAAGTCTCTGTTCCCTTTTTTAAGTCTTTTTTTCTCTTTCCTTCAGATTGGATAATATTCACTTATTTATTTCATTTATTTCATTTATTTTCAAATTCACAAATTCTTTCCTGCATCATTTCTCCATTCTTCTGTTAAGCACATCCAGCAGCATGTTTATAAATTTCAGATCTGTTTGTTCTATAATTTGTTTTGTTCTTTTAGTAGTTTCTCTGTTGACATTTTCTGTTTTGTTCATTGCAGGTATATTTTCCTTTATGTAGTTGAACACAGTTAAATAGCTACTTTAAAGTCTAATAATTCCAACATATGGGTTATCTTGGAGATTGCAGCATTGATTGTCTTCTCTTTGAGAATGGGTCACATTTGTACATGTTATGTTGTAGAGAGTCTGCATCTTGCTGTATTCATTCAGAGAGTGTAAATATTTTTCTTCTAGCAGGTAGTTAACTTGGTTAACTTAGCTTGGTTGAAGTGGAGTAAGTATTGAATGTTTATGTTAGGAATGACCTGTTCGCTGTATTTTAAATTCGGATCATTTAGGTACCTTTCGGTCTCTTATATGGTACAAGTGTTTTTTAAAAAAAATCACTCAAATGAGAATCAGAATGTTTGGGTTCCAGTCTCTGCCTTAATAGTTGACTACCTAATTATTGTTATATTACAATTAACAATCATTATGTTATAATTAGCCAAGTATTGTTATTATGATTCATTAATTGTTATAATAAATGAGTTGTATCTCTTTGGCCTGTGGAATGAGAGGCCTGGTCATCCTTAAAGGTCCTTTTCCTATTTGTGTCCTATACTCCTTTAATTGCTTAATATAAGTATCTTGAAGTCTGAGTTAATTATTTAATTTCATAGGATTCAAAATGTTGATTTCATATATTATGTAGCAGAAAGAATATCCCGGTATTAGAAAATGTGGTCATGTATTATTGATATTTTTTCTTTTAATCCCAGATTGCCTTAAAAATGCTTTGCCCCTACTTTGCTTTATGCCTCAATGTTTCCTGGGCACAGGTTATTTCATTCAAAAAACAATAACTGAAAAGAATTTTATTTTTAACCTAATATTATATTTTAAATATTTGTTTGTCTCTTAGGAAAAAGTGCTGCAAAGGATATAAATTTGTTCTTGGACAATGCATCCCAGAAGGTATGTAATATAAAAAAGATTGTGTCACTTTATTCACAACTAATCACTCACAGTCTATCAACTTTAGATGTTGAAGGAATATAGGTGCTATCTGTGTCTGATTATCTGTGCCATCTGTGCATATTTTTTGGCATTAAATTTTTTTTGGCATTAAATTTTTCTGATGCCAATTTTGTTATATGTAACGTCCAGTGTCTGATCATTACATGATGTGTTTGCACACATTGAGTCATTCTTATATAGCATTTCAGGTTTTATGATTCATGGGCTATAATCCCCCAATTAGCATTTTATACACAGTTAGAACTAGCCCTCCTCCCTTGACCTCTCCACCTGCTTTCTTTACCTGCCTTTCACCTGCTAAACTTTAAGTCCCTTTACATGCCCATCAGCAAACACGACCTGAGTGTTCAACCCAGCACTCAGATACAGATACAAAGTAAGGCAGGGACCCAGCTCTCAAGTTGCACGCATTCAAGTTGAGAAGCCAGGATGGGGAGCAGATAGAATCAGATAGACCTGGATTTTAATCATGCTTCTATGTCCTACTAATAGCTGTGACCTTGGGCAAGTTCAAGTTACTTTCTAAGCCTTGGTTCTTACAGGGTAGTATTAGTATGTGGGTCAAATGATGGTTTTAAGAATTTTGCCACATGTCAGGCACTTGGAACACAGGCTGGTTCTTATTACATGCTTGATAAATGGTGGCTGCTGTTATTGCTGCTATTGTCATTGTTAGTAATAACTGCAATGTGTGCAATAGAGACATGCAAAGCAGGAAGTGTTCAGAGGGGACACATTCACAGAGGCCCAGGGCAGTCAAAGAGGGTCTTGGAAATGAGGGGAGAAGTGAGACCATGTTATCAAGGAAGACTGCCCAGGACTTAAACAAGTAGAAAGTAGAGGACTGCAGTGGGTTCCAGGCAGAGCCCTGACACAGAAAGCACTAAAGACTTTGTTTGAAGGGCATGGGGTTAAGCTTGTTCAGGGCTGGGGTGAGATGGGTGGGGAATGTGAAATAGTTTTCTTCACCTTTTTCCAAGAAGCCAGATCTCTGTAGAAGATCGAGAGCCCAGCCAAGCTAATTCTGTTGCATTATCTCATAGAGCACCATTTTTGATCATTTAGAAGCAGGTGAATCCCTCCCATTTATTGCTGTTTTCAGTGGAAGGATGAGACAGTTCCTTGAATCATAGCTGCGACCTTTGAGGAAGCTGCCGTAGGAAGGCTGGCTGGGAGCCGCTCCACGTGTGATGGCTGATGTGGTCTTGGGTTTCTCTAAGCTGAATTTCTCTCTGCCAGTCAATTCTGTTGGTTATAGCATGATGGGTAAACCCACAAAAGTCGCAATAATTGCATTTCTTTCTATATCAGCTTTTCTCAATCACCAGCTGTGTCCCTTATGTTGCAGTTTGGCAGACTGCAAAGAAAATTAAGTTTTAGGCCCTTTGGTTCAAGCTATTATCTAAAGACCTTGTCCAACCTAATTAAAAACACATTGCGTGGATACCACATACTTAGAGTTTCTTTCAGTGTTAGTGGTTTCAAACATCTAGGTCTTAAAACTCGTCTCCCTCATCCTAAAGGAACTACAGCGCCTATGATTAACATAACCCAGAACTGAATATTTTCAGGAAAAGTGGTCACACATGCTGAAAGTTGTTTTGTCATTTTTGCTAGAACACTTTTCATAGCAGATTTGTTTTAATCTGTGGGAAAAAGTCAGTGATTGTTTCTTTTACTAAAGATATCTTTAGTCATAATTGTTTCTATCCCCAGAGAATGCAAAGTACAAATGCAGGATTTCAGAAAATATTGTATATTAAGGTTCTCCAGAGAAATAGAACCAATTTTGATTTTGATTTTCTATGTATGGAGAGAGAGGGAGAGACTGAGACTGAGGGAGAGATTGAGACTTTTTTAAAGGGATTGGCTCATGAGATTGTGGAGATGCAAGTCCAAAGTCTTCAGTGTAGGCTGGCAGGCAAGAGATCCAGGGAGGAGTTGCAGTTGGAGTCTGCTGGCCAGAAGTACCCCTTAGATTGGCGGGGTGTGGGAGGGGAGGTCATGTTTTTTTCTATTAAGACCTTCATCTGATTGGATGAGGCCCACACACATTATGGAGGGTCATCTGATTTACTCAAAAGTCTACTGATTTCAATGTTAATCTCATCTAAAAATATCTTCACAGAAACACCTAGAATAACGTTTGACCTAATATTTGGATACTTTGGCCTAGCCAAGATGACACATAAAATTATCGCAAATCTACCCCTTGTCAACTTGGCACCCATACGCCTCTCCTTAAACCATACCTAATCTCCAGATACAGGCAATAACAAAGTTGTATGTTCATCTGACATGCTACAACTATCCCACATGAAACACACTAACCCTTTCCCCAGAAGAGGGTATGAAGTCCTGTGGCACTGAACTTTTCCAGCATCTCCTTGATATGCTTTAATGTAAATACTGTGATGTAAAGTTAACAGTATTTAAATACTGTGATATAAAGTCACTACATCTTATGACATATGATAAGAGGATAAAAGAAAGAAGAAAACAAAGATTGGCATGCAGATGCACACGCACAAACACAAACATGGAAATAATCCATGGAAAGATACGAAATACTCATTACAATTTACAGTGCTTTTTTTCTGTAACTTGTCACATGGTCATAGCTGATATATGTAACCTGCCACCTTCTACTACCCAACCCATATTCCCTTTGCCCTCAGCAAGCACCTTGCCTGATCGTGGTTCTTTCTCTACCTGGTAAGGTGATCCACACCTTCATTCCTGAAGGATCTGAGACGTTAGCCCTGCCTGAATTGAGTTGTCTTCTGTTGACTTTTTAATCACAGGGTGTGACAATTACTAAGGGACCACCTAAGGTGTTTCTGGTGTTCCAGAAAATTTTTCTTCCCTCTGTTGTGGAGTAACAGTACAATTTCCCCTTGGTAGCCAGGATCAGTCACCCCAGCTGGCACAATAACTCCCTTTTTTGCCTGCTGATGCAGAGGCATGAGGAGACCAAAGTGGCCAGGTGGCACCTTAATTTTCAGTTCAATGGAATCATTTTTGCCTCTGTTGCTGGAAGCATTCCTCCCTTTGAAACTAAGCCCTCTAGGCCAATATAACATAAAGTTACAGGAACAGGAAGCAAAAATTTTGCTAGTGGATCAGTAGGGGTAACAATGAGTGGTGCCACTCCCATTTCCACCCTTGATTCTGGGACCTGTAAATCCTGGTTATGGGACAAACCATACCATATGTTGGATACTGATTCAGAGCATATATATCCTCCTGGTGAACCTTGCTCCAGACTAAATAGCTGGGTACCATGGCCTAGCCAAGTTGACCTGTAGCATTAACCATAACAGATGGCAAAAAGAAATTAGAATGTCTAAAGAAATATGTTAACTCATGAGTGGAAGCTATAGTTTTTAAGCGTTGCTGTCTCATATTTGTTGCTCTAAGTCAGGAAGCCAATGGAGAATATTCTCCACTAAAATGAGGGAGTAAACTGGAAGAGAGAAAGATGTGGATATATGGTTTGGCTGTGTCCCCACCCAAATCTCACATCGAATTGTAATAATCCACACGTGTCAAGGGCAGGGCCAGGTGGAGATAATTGAATCATGGGGCAGTTTCCCCCATACTGTTCTCATGGTGGTGAATAAGTCTCACAAGATCTGATGGTTTTATAAATGAGTTCCCATGCGCAAGCTCTCTCTTGTCTGCCACCATGTAAGACATGACTTTGCTCATTTGCCTTCTTCCATGATTGTAAGGCCTCTCCAGCCACGTGGATCTGTGAGTCAGTTAAACCTCTTTCCTTCGTAAATTATCCAGTCTCAGGTATGTCTTTATTAGCAGTGTGAGAACAGACTAATACATGTGGGATCCAGGAAACAGGAATCCAACACAAGAGAGAGGGAGGTGATGGGCATCCATAGGTTTGTGGTGAATGCACATTCCTGGACGCAGCTACAGGCTGGGTGCAGTACTGGTAATCCCAGCACTTTGGGAGGCTGAGAGAAGAGGATTACCTGAGGAGTTCAAGACCAAGAGTAGTAGCTGCCATGCAGCAGACCTACAGAGTCCTAATTAGAGCAAGTTGAGATTAATTTGAAAAAATGTCTATAAGAAGAGATTTGCAAAATTGAGGGGATCTCTGGTGATGAATTAGTGATCAATTTGTAGAGAACTGAACATGTAGATTGAAGTTGTCCAGAAACAGACCCTTGGCCACTTATTTAACAGAAAGCAATTAATATAAAGAACTGCTAACTAGTAATTGAGAACCAAAAATGCAAAAGGAAAACTAAGTATCACTGAGGTAACAACTGCAGGAAGCAGCTACCGCCTCTAGGCTAGGGAAACAAAGAGAAGATATTGACCCAGTGAAAACTTAGAAGTTGGGAGGACCCAGAACTGTGAGGAAGAGGTGCTGACTAGCAAGCCCTATTTCTCAGAACCTAGAGGAAGTTACTAGTGGATCTGGGACCCAGACCTTGGAGGCGGGGCTACCAGATGGCTGGCTGGTGCTGATGTCTCTGAAATGGGATACAGTGAGGCTGATTTTTGCAAGTGTTAGAAAAAATTCAAGCTGGATTTTGCTGCCACTGTATTCCTTTTGGTAGACACAGGATCTCACTATGTTGCCCAGGCTGGTCTTGAACTCCTGGCCTCAAGTCAGCCTCTCACCTCAACCTCCGGAGGTGGCACATGCCACCATGCCCGGCTTGCAGCTGCTATTGAAACAATCTGCTAGTGGGATGGAAGAGAAAGGCTGATATTAGGCTTTCATGAATAGGAATCTCAGGAAGCAAAACAGAAAAAGGCAGATATCCCTTCTTCCTCTTCCAGCCTCCCTGTTTCTGTCTGTGTCTCTATGTGTGTCACTGTCAGAAACTAAGAGGTTGGCAGCTGACAAAGGAATGTGGACTCCAGAGCCCAAGTCACAAAGTAGCCCATAGAAGAAGAAGGTGGGTGTTTGAAGCTAAGAGAGAAAGTTCAGTAACTGGCACCCCAAAAATATACAAGATAATTCTTTTAATTCCAGAGAAGATAAAAAGATCTTCAAGAAGGTACAAGTAATTCAAGCATACTTCCAGGTTCAGCAAAGAATAGCTTTTATGTCGTCATTATGGTACAAATACTAAAGATTATCACATCAAAATTTCATCATAACTATATTGGCCAGATGGAGGGAATAGAAAGTTACGGGTATGACTGCAGGGGACAGGAGGCCATAAAAAAATTCCGTGCATCTCCTCTGTTACTGGAAGTCATTAGAGAGGATTTAAAATAAAAATAAAGAAGCAATGCAGTCCGCTATTTAGAGATGCAGAAGTGAGTGTAGAAAGAATCAGCTGGAAGAGTTGGAAGTGGTTCCTCAGGGAAGCAGGAATGGTAGGAGAGACAGGGAACTGCCTTGTTAGGCACCATGATCAACTCAAACACTTTGACAGCCTCTCTGCCTCCTCCTTCCCCTTGCCAGCTGCTGCGGAATGGTGGCAATAGCCAACAGGGAAGCTCACAGCCAGTTATGCCAGGATCATGCTCTCCAACATAAAGAGCACAGAACCTTGGCTGCCTAGAGGTGATGCCAAGTGGAGGAAATGTGTAGCTAGAGACAGTCTGCAGGGTTGGTCAGAACACCATGCAGGCAAAGCAGGCCTGAAATCACAATCATGGGAAGGAGTATTTTACAAGGGCAGCTTTCCAGGTCATTGTGAGAATGGCACAATACTTGTCACACAAACCTTCCCTGCATCAGGAGCTGACGGCCCACCCGTTCACCTTCATATGTGGTGGGGCAAAGCCAGACTCACTTGGTGTCCAAGGATAGTTTATCTGTCAGCACCTGGAGGAGATAGTGCAAAGGATTAATGAGGTGCTGGCTCCAGCCTGGGAGTCAGTGTTGTGCCTGAGCTACTGCATTAGAGCCAAAGTCCCTTCAGAGGCTCATTACATATCAGTTCCTGGGAACTGAGAGGAGCAGATGCCCTAATTCTTTATGAGTAGCAGTGTATCCACCTCAGTTTGCACAGGCTGAGGGCTGGAAAGAGACCTCTAACCATTTGAACTCACCCAATCCCTTCTCAGCATGAGAGATCAACCCCCCAGGATGCACACTTATACAGTATAAACATATAAGCATTGGCTCTCTTATAAGTCATGCACATTTCTGTTACACAGTGATATGGTTTGGCTGTGTCCCCACCCAAATCTCATCTTGAATTGTAGCTCCCATAATTCCCACGTGTCATGGGAAGGACCTGGTGGGATGTAATTGAATCATGGGGTGGGTCTTTCCCGTGGTGTTCTCATGTTAGTGAATAAGTCTCACGAGATCTGATGGGGAGCTCCCCTGCACACATTTCCTTGCATGCTGCCATGTAAGAAGCGACTTTGCTCCTCATTTACCTTCAGCCATGATTGTGATGCCTCCCCAGATGTGTGGAACTGTGAGCCAATTAAACCTCTTTCCTTTGTAAATTACCCAGTCTCAGGTTTTAGCAGCATGAGTCCAGACATGTATACACAAAGTCCCCTTCCTACCTCTCTGAGCCTGCCTGACTTCCAGCCCTTCCTCCCATATGATGACGCCAACGCCTGTCACCCCAGCTGGCCTTTGTTTAGTGTTCTGCTAGGTGGAGTCCCCTGCCTCTACAGCAGTTGAGGAACAAGACAAAACAGCACCCCACCCCCGAGGGAATCCGCAGAGTCTGGCCCTCTTAAGAGTCTTTTCTCTTTGGATAGTGACAAAGACCAAAGGATGATGAGGCGACTTAGGGGGAAAATCACGAGTGATGTGATGCCATGTATGTTACCCATTGCAGTACTCTTAGAAGGTGCCCCACAGCCCGAAAGAGTTCCTGTCCTTCTAAGTGTATCTGTCCACACTTCACACATGCCTTGAGCAGAGCCCAGCCCAGAAAGTCCTTTCCAGGCCAGGGCCAGGTTACCCCGCCTCCTCCTGTGGTTGACGTGAGCTCTCACTTTGCTTTTTCAGATTACGACGTTTGTGCCGAGGCTCCCTGTGAACAGCAATGCACAGACAACTTTGGCCGAGTGCTGTGTACTTGTTATCCGGGATACCGATATGACCGGGAGAGACACCGGAAGCGGGAGAAGCCATACTGTCTGGGTGTGTTGGGAATGTGCTTTGTTTCCAGCTTCTGAACATGTGCCTTGTTCAGATGGTTCTGTCCTTGGTTGGACCCTTCAGTTCTCGTACTTGTTGGATGAAGTTGTGTTTGATATTATCCTAGGGATAGCTTATCACTGCCCTTCATCACAATTACTAAAACCAACTAAGCCCCAGGAATTCTTCCGGGATCTGGTACCAGTGAGGTCCTAATTGGCGGTGAGACATAAGAGCAGGAGAAGGGGAACACGCCCAAATATAAACTGGAATAATGTAAAACAGTATAAGTGGTCAGAAACGTAAAAACGCAGACAGAACAAAACAAGAATAAACCTTCTCTTAGAAGATGATTGGGGATAAAAGGAAGTAGCCATATGGCAGACAGGTTGGGAGGAAGTCGGAGAGAGCCGAAGCCAGCCACCTGGGCTGCAGCTGAGCAGAGCCTGCGCCATCCACGGCACCAGCCTGTTTACTGTCGCCCTCACGAACTGGCTGTCCCAGCCGTGCATTCCTTGAGGTTCTAAGGCAGCTTTATGGCTCCTTTTCCTCTGGAACTATGTGTCTGAAAGTGTGGTCAGTTCATAGCTAACCTGAGAAACATCTGGGATCCTCGTTTAGGAAGAAAAAAATCCTGGCCTTTTCTCCACACCTAGTGAATCACAACTCTGAGAGTGGGTCCACACGTGCATATTTACACCAATGCCTCTAATGATTCATAGGCATGATGAGATTTAAGAATCAGCTGGAGGATGAACTGCAGAGACTGCAGAGGCTACATGGGAAATAAACCAGCTGTCATGAGCATCCCTCTTTCTCTAGCCTAGCAGGGGCTCTAGGGAGCACCATTTCTGAGAAGTTCCAACTGTAGGTCCTCTGGTTGCTCCCTGTCAGCATGTGGGAATGGTGCCCCACAATGCCAGAGAATGGGATTGTGACTCCCAAGTGAATGGAGCAGGGATCTCTGGCCTCTCCTGCAGAGAAAGGCACAGGCCATTCCATGAGGCTCAGGTCCCAGGCACAAGGATCTTACTTCAGTTTATAGCAGCTCTTGAAGCCTATTCTTTATGTATTTATTTTTGAGACAGGGTCTCACTCTTGCCCAGGCTGGAGTGCAGTGGTATGATCTTGGCTCACTGCAGCCTCGACCTCCCATGCTCCTGCAATTCTCCCACCTGTGCCTCCTGAGTAGCTGGGGCTATAGGCATGCACAACTACACCCAGCTAATTTTGTTCCTATTTCATAGAAATGGGATTTTACTTTGCTGCCCAGACTGGTCTGGAACTCCTGGACTCAGCCCCCTGTCTTGGCCCCTCAAAGCACTGGAATTACAGGCATGAGCCACCACACCCAGCCCCTGTTCTTTTTGCTTGGGGGCTTGGGTACCAGCAGAACTTGCCTTCTACTAAGAGTTCTATTTCTATTTCTGATATCAGCTTAATCTCCTCTCTCTGGGCAGTACAGGCAGCATCACATGTAGGTTTAGGACACCTGGGGAAAGGCAGCGAGCCTGAGGAATTGCAGAGGAGGATGCAGCTGCAACATCCAGTCCACAGATGACCTAGTCGGTACTGCCAGGGGAGCGTCCAGATGACCACCCTCCCCTCAGCATATACAGGGACTGGGTCACTGGCAGCTTGTGCAGGGAGTGGCTGGGAAGTTGTTGCCATCCTCAAGTTCAGCGCTGGCCTCTGTCTGCCCAGCACATGTGCACAGTCTGGGGCTGCATGCCACGGTTCCCACCCACTGCTACCCAGTGTCTTCAACCAGTGATCAGGAAATGAAGTTGGGCCTCCCACTGTCCTCGTGGTGGGAAACGTTTTTGTTTCCACCATGCAGCAGGGGAACAAGTCCATGATGTGCGTAGTTAACATGGGCTCTTCGTGGGGACTTGTTTGGTGGTCCCATGGCTCATTTCCACAGCCCATGAGGGGTCTGTCTGAGTTCCTGATGAGGCAGACATTTTCTGGGGAAGACTCTTTCCATTAGACCCATTATGACTATTTTCTTTTATTAGAAGTATCTTTTCCCAGGTGCCATCATGGCTTTTAACTGGGAAGGGACCATTCCTAAGTGACCTGTGGGTCACCATCATGCTGTTTGGAACCTACACCATAAAGGGAAACTTAAAAATCCTCAGCACAGTAGGGCACTCACAAAAAAAATCATCTCTGTAATGTTTTCTTCTCTAAGTGAGTGTTGCCACTGGTGATCTCATTTTCATTTCTAAGTAACCCTATGAAGTGTTTAGGGCAGGCTTCATTGTCATTGTTCTGTAAGTGAGATCTGAAGGCTAGCAGTCTAAGCCACATGTCTTGGGAGTGGCAGAGCCACAGCCAGGAACCCCATCACTAATCAGCCTGTAACAATGGCCACTTGGCCAAAAGTGCTGTTTTTACGGATGGCCTACATTTCTAGCTCCCTGCTTTATTCCAGGCTTCTCTGATCAACGTCGGCCCAAGTGTCCTTTGTTGTTATTAACAGAGAGGCCAAGCCCAATGTCACCTGTTGTATTAGAAGTGAATTCTCAGAAACTGAGTATTCTCTACATTTGGTTCAAACCAGATATTGATGAGTGTGCCAGCAGCAATGGGACGCTGTGTGCCCACATCTGCATCAATACCTTGGGCAGCTACCGCTGCGAGTGCCGGGAAGGCTACATCCAGGAAGATGATGGGAAGACGTGTACCAAAGGAGACAAATATCCCAATGACACTGGTAAGTAAGGCAAGTCTAAATATCTCCCTAATTACATGTTTTTGTATATTATATAGATATGATATAGAATTGCATATATAAATATCATTTTATGCTATATAATTTTATATACAATGTATGCCACATTATGTTTAACATCTAAAGTTTCCAAGTGCCTATATAAAATTATACACAATTATTTATTGTATGAGTTTGTTCTCACACTGCTGATAAAGACATACCCAAAACTGGGTAATGTATAAAGAAAAAGAGGTTTAATAGACTCACAGTTCCATATGGCTGGGGAGGCCTCACAATCATGGTGGAAGGCAAAGGAGGAGCCAAGGCGCACCTTACATGGCAGCAGGCAAGAGAGCATGTGCAGGAGAACTTCCCTTTGTATTAATAAACCATCAGATCTCTCAGACTTATTCACGATCATGAGAGCAGCATGGGAAAGACCTGCCCCCATGATTCAACTACCTCCTACCAGGTCCCTCCTGCGACACATGGGGATTATGGGAGCTATAATTCAAGATGAGATTTGGGTGGGGACACAGCTAAACCATATCATGCAGTTTATATATATATATGTAGTTATATGTAATATATGTAACGTATTTTTTATATATTTACTTAAGAGCCCAATCAGGTACCTCAAAGGACAAGTGGACAGGAAGGGGCACATATACCAATGGTAAATGGGACCTAGGGAACAGAATGTAAGTTCAAACTTCTAAAGAGAAAGAATAAGAGTGATGCCCATTAGCTCAAGGGTTGTAAGCTAGTGTGTACTGGAGGAAGCTCTCCACCAAGCTGAAGTGATGTGCTCTTGGAGAAATCAGTAAGGCTTAGATATGTGTTTAGACAAACTAAGATGAGCAGAGAAGAGGCCAGAAACGCTGTGTTTTCCCAAAGAAAATGGGCTGAAATATAAATATGAAATATCTCCATGTAAGGTAACAATCTGTATCCATGCTACTCAAAATATGGTCTATGGACAGGCAAGATTCATAATTGGATAAAAACAAAAATTGAGTGTTTAGAAATTTTTATATCAGTCTGACAGAGGAATTTTGTTTAAATCCAAAAATTTATGCTTGCATTTTACATCTTATTTTTGTAGTGGTTCATCTTTGTGTTTCACAGAAGTATCAGTCCACAGGCAGCTGGAAAATTTCTAAAAGCTGGGCCTGTAGCACAGAGCTGAGAAGCTGATTTACATTCTGTCAGCGACATTCAACTGAGATGTCTGGTCACTCAAGCATATGATCATCCTGAAGGTTGGGTTATTTCCTTATTTGAGTTCAGAGGAAAAAAGAAAGAAGAACGAGGCAGAGATGAAAAGGGGAGGGATGGGGAAAGAGGAAAGAGAGAAGAAGAAAGAGAAAGGAGAAAGAGAGCCCCTAAACTAATATCAATGCTTCAGGCAATGCCTTGATCATCAAAATACCACTACATGCATATGTGAAGCAACTCTGGTCCCTCTGCCAAGGTGTCAGTGCCAGCCTAGCCACGAAAATGTAGGATTTTAGCTTAAATGTCAAGGGCCTGTCTAGTCAGGGTGAACTTTGAAGCAAAACGGACTCCATTGACGATGGCTGGCAGAACCAGTTCCCAGGGGAGAAAGCCCTCAGCCACTTAGAGGGCTTGAGGCTGGTGCCACACAGTCACCAGCTCCTGTATCCACTACTTGTAGCCCAGGAAGCTGCTGTCCTCTTCCCTAAGCCTAGGGCTTAGCTCTTCTCTACTTCCCTCAGGAAGGGAAGGTGGCTGGAGCTCTGTTGGCTAGGTCTGGACCTTCCTTGGGAGTTCCTAGAACAAATCACACCCAAAATTAAGAAACCTACGAACACATCACAAGTGATGGTATCCTGAAAAACAGTTTAGAAAATATCAACTTAGCATCAAAGATCTGAGCTCTGGGGCCATGATAAGCCATCTGGTCAACTTTCAGGCAAGGCTGTTGATTATCAGCAGATGAAGCAGCCAGAGTTCAGAGAGAAGTGATTTTCTGTAGACTGCATGGCATCTGATGAATGGAAGTAGGATAGTACCTTCCATTCTGCCATATTGAGAGAGAGTTACAGGTGACTATAATGAGGGATGGCCTGTTTAATCAAGAGCATTCTGCTGGTTGTATCATTGAGCCTTACTGTAACACAAAACGCATTGCAAAAGATGACACTTGGCTGGGGACAGTGGCTCAGGCCTATAATCCCAGCACTTTGGGAGGCTGAGGCAGGCGGAACACTGGAGGTCAGGAGTTCAAGACCAGCCTGGCCAACATGGTGAAACCCCATCTCTACTAAAAATACAAAAAATTAGCTGGGCGTGGTGGCACCAGTAATCCTAGCTACTCGGAAAGCTAAGGCATGAGAATCCCTTGAACCTGGGAGGCGGAGGTTGCAGTAAGCCAAGATCACACCATTGCACTTGGCCTGGACAACAAGAGCAAAACTCTGTCTCAAAAAAAAAAAAAAAAAAAAAAAAACGATTACACTTGTCTGGGAATCCTCTCCTCTTTCTTTTCCATCAACATCCTTCCCCAAATATAGCAATTGCAAATAGTCTTTAAAAGGGAAACCTGATATGACTCCACTAAGGATGCTCCCCAGCAGGACCCTTCTAAAAGAATCGCTCAGAATTTTCAGTAATTTGTCTCCACTGAATTTATCAACTATGCACAAAGGACTAGCATTTGATTTTATATTTTAGTCAAACAAAATTCAAACACCAGTAACCAGGAATATTTGAGGGTAGAAACTCAAGGGTAGAGAGAAGGGTAGAGGCAAGCAATTCATACACGTCATTAAAATTATGAGAAAGGACAGGCCATTGTATGCTCTGAACATTAAAGTCATAATTCGAGAGATTGGACTGCTGGGAAGGTGGGGGCTGGCTTTGATGGTTCTGGCAGGAAAAAAAAAAAAAAAAGCCTCCACTCTTCAGCAGTGTGGCCTAGCAAGGGCCAGTGGTGGTGGGGAAGGGGATCATTTCTTTAATGGCCGTGATACAGTGGAAAGTTCCTAGGCTTGGGAGTTTGAAGTAATACAGAACCAAAGTTGGTTCAGTATTAACTGAGCAATAATGAGCAGGTCTCTGGGCCTCAGTTTCCTTATCTGTAAATGAGAAGGTTAAACTATATGAGCTTTGAAGACCTTTTCACCCTTTCAAATATTTTTCAAAATTTGGTGTGATTTAGCATAAGTGAGGCAAGCCCTGTGATTCCATGTGCAGGCCTCATTTATTTATTTATTTATTTATTTATTTATTTATTTATTTATTTATTTATTTGAGACAGAGTCTCCCTCTGTTGCTCAGGCTGGAGTGCAGTGGCTCAATCTCTGCTAACTGCAACCTCTGCCTCCCAGGTTCAAGCGATTCTCATCCCTCAGCCTCCCAAGTAGCTGGGATTACAGACGTGCGCCACCACGCCTGGCTAATTTTTGTATTTGTAGTAGAGACGGGGTTTCACCATCTTGGCCAGGCTGATCTCAAACTCCCGATCTCAGGCAATCCGCCTGCCTCGACCTCCCAATGTACTGGAATTACAGGCGTGAGCCACAGCACCTGGTCCAGGCCTACATTTCTTAGTTCTCTTAAGTACTGAGATTTAGAAACATGCCCAGCCTCAACAACTTCTAAGCAGAGGACTTTCCTCAAAATATCTGAAAGATGAATTATTAAACATCCAAGCGTTCAGTTCAGCAATAAGAAATGTCAGAGGCCTGAAGAGCCCCACATTCCAGAACATCAGAAGCCAGGAAGCATTTTCATCTGTTTTGGACTAATTAGTAAGCTCACTATTTCATTATGGTCGTTTTTTGTGAATTGAGAGTGATTATTGAGTATAACCACATGTGATCTGAAATCATCTCTTCCTCCTCGGTTTTCCTTTTTAACTTTGCGTTATCTAATGCCTGTATTGTTACAATCGGAGGAATTTGAAATCAAACACAACCTCAGCTGGTTGTTAAGAATCCAGGGGGAGAGAAGGGAGGCTGGCCTCAGGACTGCCTCTGAGGCTTGAGAGGTTGCAATCCACTGGCTCTGGGCTCTCTGAGACAAGCCGTCTGGCTAATGGACATTCAGTCACTTTGATTTTCTCTTTGAAAATATGTAGCCGGAGCCAGTTTAGTCACCCCAGGGAGTCTGTAGCCTCAATAGGGAGACAAATTAAGGAAATGTTGGCTCCATAGTAATTAGCTTGCCAGTCTTTATTTTTCAACTTTTGTTTATTTTCTGATAACGTGACCATGACCCCTGGTATCACTTATTACAGGGCAGTGTCAGATGGCCAGGTGTTTCATATTACTTTCAAGCTCCACTAATCCATAGATCAGCGGTTCTCAACCTTGCAATTACCTGGGGAGCTTTTTAAAAAAATGCTGATACTGTTGCCTTGCAGTCCCCAGATGGGTGGTGTGCAGCAGAATTCATATTTTAAAAGCCCCCCAGGTGATTGTAATGTGCCTCCGGGGTTGAGCATTACAGCCAGAGCACAAATCTGCACAATCAACTTTTAAACACAAACATGCTTTGTTCATTTCTGGCACTGCCCATATAAAATATTTCGGGAACACTGTTTGGTTTTTCTAAGATATCTAAGGCGTTACAATTTCTAATGCTTAGGATAGACGTCCTGGTCAACTTCAGGAAAAATTAGAGCTTCTTGCCCCCATGTGGCTAATCAATAATATTGCACCTTTAAAATCTGAACAAGTTGAAGAAAAAGTGTTAAGCGATACCACCCCAGGCTTTTCCCAGAGGTGTGACCACAGCATTAGTTGAGAGGATTGAAAACATGCAGCGATAGCTACCCCAATTTCTAAATAAACTGTTAATGTAGCATATGTGAGATTATTTATAGCTCCATGTTGACATTGTAGACGAATTGCAAGGTGGATGTGAACCCCAAATCAGAGTAGGTTTTATGTTCCAGGTCTACATATACAAAAGGTATGAGTCCTTGTTTATCTTTAAACCCTCGAGAGCTCTATTGAAAGGGTGATATAAGGTCCCAACTCCACATGTCTAATTTTGTAGAGAACTGAATCATAGTAATACCAACAATAAATAGCATAACAATGAGTGCTATGAATAGAGCTCTTACCATAAGCTGGGCACTGTTCTGGGAACCTATGTATCTTATCACTGGCTCCTCGTAGCAGCTCCAAGTGATAGGTGCTGTTACCTTTTTACCGTTCAAAGAACGGGCATTCACAGAAACCATGACTTGTCCAATTTAAAAGGTACTAGGTAGCAGCAGCTGCACCAGCGCCTACACTCCTTATTACCATGCTGTGTACTTCTGTGTCAGAGGAGCTTCAAGTCTTCTGGATAATGTTAATCTTGGTTCTCTGTGTTCTGATAATTCCACAACAGAACAGAAAACAGCCCAGGAATTTTCATGTAACAGGTCACTCAGCAGAGCTTCTGCCCTGGAGCCTGGCCAGCAGATAGCTCTCAGGTGTCCTCAACAGAATTCCCAATAGCAGGCTCACTGCATGCACCCACCCCTCCAGAACAGCCACTTGGGACCCAGTTGAGTTTGTGGTCTCTACACACAGCAAATCTGAAAGACCTAAGGCAAGTTACTTTCTCTCTCTGGCTCTCACTCTCCTTTTCTACAAAAGAGACTGAACAAAAGATATGTTCTAACATTCTATGATCTAAATGAAATAGTCTAGAATCTGGTAAAGAGGTTTATCTTATCGTGAAGCTGTCCAATTGCTTAATCACGTTAACACTTGGAAAATTTAACTGAGTATGTAAAAGTAGAAGTGGACAGAAACATGAGCTTTTAACTTTGTTCATGGTGGCCCAGCTCTGCCGACAGGGCTAGATTCTTAAAGATGAACTGAAAAATTGTTAAATGGATATCCTCACTTATTTTACATTATCAGTGCCTGACACAGGACCTGGCTAATAGCAGATGCTCCATAGATGGATGGAAGGAAGGGAAGGTTGGATGGATGGACGGATGGATGGATACGTGGTTAAGAAGACGGAATGGATGGGAAGATGGATGGATGGATGGATGGATGGATGGATGGATGGATGGATGGATGGATGGAAGGATGGGAGGATAGATGGATAAGTGGTTAGGAAGATGGAATGGATGGGAAGATAGATGGAAGGATGGAAGGATGAATGGATGGATGGATGGTTGGATGGATGGATGGTTGGATGGATGGATGGAAGGATGGATGGATGGATGGACAGATGGATAGATAAGTGGTTAAGAAGATGGAATGGATGGGAAGATGGATGGAAGGAAGGAAGGATGGGTGGATGGAGGGATGGATGGATGGATGGATGAATGGATGGATGGATGGATTGATGGACAGACTAGATTGATGATGGTATTGTATACATTGACCAGTAGATGAGATGGAATGGCTGAAAGACTGGTTGGGAAGGATGGATGTCATTTATCTGTCCTTAGGTATTAACATAATAAACCTGGAGCCTGGGTCATCTTTTCATGCAAGAGCCCACCGTTTCCTGCAGTCAGCACAACCAAAGTTAAGGTGTTCGCCCTTTACAACTAAGGATATTATTGCGTGGAAACTTGCCTGGCTTGCTCTGTTGGAGATTGAGCTAAATAGTTCTGGTTTTCAGGAGTATTCAAGCTCCATAGGATTATAAATTGGTACATTGAACAGGGATAAAAAACCCAAAGGAGACTCTCTGATTTGTGGAAAAGGCATTGGACTTAATTTCAGGACAACTCCATTCTAAACCCACCTCAGATACTTGCTAGATGCTCTTCAGGAAGTCGCCAGACCTCAGTTCCCTCATTTTGCTATTCATGTTAATACTGTTATTGTAGGGTTCTGGGATTATCATGCAAAGGAAATTTAAAGGGTTTGGTGAGCCTGAAAACTGCTAGACATCCCCTCCCATCTACCTACAACCAAGCTTTGTGCTGAGGGTTTTCCATGCATTACCTTGCCCCGTCATCACAGCAGCCACATGTGGCAGGAATTGTAATTCCAGGGCTATGGTCGAGGCAAGTGGGGTTTGTGGAGGCCAAGTAACCTGCCCAAGGTCGCTGAGCCTATTCAGTGACAGAGATGGTACCTGCATCCAGAACAATGGGACTCAAGTTTGTACTGGTAATCAGTTCACTCTACCATCTCTGATACAAGACCTTCCCTGTTCCCCCTTACTGCTCAGCTCATTGTCACACAGCTGCAGTGAGTCAAAACCACCCCTCCAGTGTGCCAACTGAAGGGAGTACAGGTGAGGAAGCTATGGGAATTCACCTAGAAAGCAGGCATTAAAAGGATGGCCCTGTTATGTTGGTTACACATAAAGTGGATTTTTTAAAACTGCCACTTTTGCAGAGATTCAAGTGTTTTTCTCCAATTACACATTCAAAACCTGCCTGAAGAGCTAGGTTGATACTGCATATTCAATAATTACACTGTTACTTGTGGCAACTCAACTACACAGCGTGGCATCATTTGTGTCAACCTGCTGGCTTGAGAAATGTGTGCTTAGCTTGGGTGCTGCCAATACCAGGTCTCCCATGGTGCAGGGATGGCAGTGCAGCAGGTAAGCTCTGAAACTGCCTGCTGTTGTGTGCTGAGGGTGCACAGTCTGAGACCTCAGCTGCCAGATTGCCTCTGGGCCTGCTCACCTCCCAAAGGGCAGAAGCCCTGGTCACTGCATATGTCACCAGGGAGAGGACTGGGCAGCCGGGCTGTGTAAGGAAGTTTCGCCTACATGTGGGCTGCCCTCATGCCCATCTCTCCATCCATTCAAGTGTCCATTTCCTAGGGTTGCCATAGAAAAACGCCACAAATTAAGTGGCTTAAACAGAAATTTGCCTCTGGTCTGAGGTTAGAAGTCCAAGGTGTCAGCAGCGTTGGTTTCTTCTAACAGCTGTGCAGGACAATCCATTCCATGCCTTTCCCTAGCACCTGGTCATCGGCAGGCAATTTTTGGTGTTCCTTGGCTTCCACTGCCTCTCGCCTCTGCCTTCGTCTTCACATAGCATTCTTCCTGTGTACAAGTTTCCCCTTTGTATAAAGACACCAATCATATTGGACTAGGATCCCACCCTACTCCAGTATAACTTCATCTTAACTAATTTTATCTGAAATGATCCTGTTTCCAAATAAAGTCACATTCTAAAGCACTGGGAATCAGGACTTCCCGTGAATTGGCAAAAAGGACACAATTCAACCTGTAACAACCCATTTCCCAAACATTTTGTGAGCATCCATTATGTGAGATACCAAGAAGTGAGCCTCGTTCTTAGGCAGCTTACACACTGGCATGTGCCCTAAGAACCGCTCTCCAGGGAAGCCTAGAAGACCAGCCTGTGAGTGGGAGGGACACACAGTAAATGCTGCCTGATTTTCAGACTTCTGTGGGTTGAGAGCAGGCTTCATGGAACATTTGATCTGCATCTTGGTGGGGTTCAACAAGTGGAGATGGAACAGAGGGCTTTGCAGAAGAGAGGAACAGTAAGAAGCAAATGATACGGGCCAGGAAGCACAAGAGATGGTCACGCGTTACCGACTTCCCCAGTCTGCGTTCTAGATAGTCGTGGTTATTATGTCACACAAACAGCACACCTGGCCCAACGCCAAAGGGCTGTTAAGCGAGGAGAGTTTATGCTTCCCTGGGTGTCAGACTGTCCTGCCTGCCCAAACAAAACACCCTCAACCTAGCACTTTCAGCCCACACTGCTGCCACCTTTGGCACACACCTTGGCAGTCTGTGCAAGGTCCTCAGCAGCGAGGTGACCCAGGTGTCTGGTCTTCCCAGCATGCAGGCTTAAGTAGCCCATTCCAGTGCCAGGAGGAAGAGAGCTGTCTGTATTCTTGGCCAGATCACCATTTACTTCACCCAGTTTTCCTTTAGCAAAGAATGTTTTTACAAAAAGCCCATGGAGCACCTAATGTTCTACAGCTGGGGTTTGGGACCCTTTGCAGTGGATGGGCCCGACTGCCTTTCTGTTGCTGTTGCGAGTGGCCCCAGATGGGGTGGCGAAGTGTCTGGGGCATTTCCTATCCTGGCCTCAAGCATCAGTGAGGTCAGCTCCCAGCCCACTGCTGTGCTCCCTTTGAAGAATTGGATTAGCAGAGGTGATAAAGGCAACTTGAAGGCCCAGTGCCTGAGCTTGGGGAATATTTATAATGTGTGAACATTAGCCCTTTCAGAGGAGTATAAATCATGTCAGATTTATAGAGCCTGCCTTCTGGAAAAGCACTGATAAAAGGGCCGTGGTACGCATTTTCACACATGAAAGGAAGATCAGGGTCTTCCTGGCATGTCTAAATAGGAACAGCTGAGCTCAACTTCTAGCAGCAACCCTCTCTCTTTGTCCCCCACTCTTCTGTGACCCTGGAGCGTGCTGGCAGGACCCGAGAGCTGTAAAATCACCCACAGCTGAGCCCTCACATGTCCCGCTGTCAGCCGCTCTGTCCCTGGGACCACCCTTCCCGATGCTGTCTGAGTCTGGCTTGCATCCAGCCTCCCAGACAGGACTGAGCCCATCTCCTTTCTCAGGCCATGAGAAGTCTGAGAACGCGGTGAAAGCTGGAACTTGCTGTGCCACGTGCAAGGAGTTCTACCAGATGAAGCAGACCGTGCTGCAGCTGAAGCAAAAGGTACGTGCCGCTGGGGTGGGAACGATGATGCGTGATGGAAGGAGGGCTTGGCCAAGGCCAGGTGGAAGGATATTTACAAATGATAAGAAAATAAATTATCCACATTGAGCATTCACGCAGTTGATGCCAGTGAGGTTTGGATGGATTTGGGATGCTTTGCCCACCCTCAGAGCCATCCAAGGGGCAACAGGACACAATGATGGCAAGGGATTGCAGAGGCGATTATTAAAATCAACACTAGGTAAGGGACACGTGGCAAAGCCATAGAGAGGGTGAGCTATAGCTATTGCAACTTCTCATAAAATAAATTTCCAGCCGGGTGCAGTGACTCACGCCTGTAATCCCAGCACTTTGGGAGGCTGAGGCAGGTGGATCACCTGAGGTCAGGAGTTCAAGCTAACGTGGTTAGCTAACATGGTTAAACCCCATCTCTACTAAAAAATACAAAAATTAGCTGGGCATGGTGGTGGGCACCTGTAATTCCAGCTACTTGGGAGGCTGAGGCAGAATTTCTTGAACCTGAGAGGCGGAGGTTGCAGTGAGCTGAGACCACCCCATTGCACTCCAGCCTGGGTAACAAGAGCGAAACTCCAACTCAAAAATCAAATTTCCATACGTGTCCTGGGAAAGACCTATGTAATTCTGTTTTATCTAAGATCTGTATATTATTTATGGAGAATATTGTCTCTATAAACTGCCATAAGCTCGTAAGGAATTTCTGCAGTAGCTTTCTTTTTCACTTTTAAAAATTATAGCCTGTGCCCTTTCTGAGCTCCCTGCACCTAGAAAAGCAGCCCTGTGGGAACTTCATGTCATCAAAGATGAGGGCCAATGCACTTTGTAAAAGGCTGTGTGAATGCCTGACAGTATAACAGATTTCTAGTAACACTGTTCTGCTGTGAGTAATGGCCCAGTACGGATCTGGCGATCTGACTTCCTGAACAACTGTCCTGGACCCATATAAACAGTATTTATTGTACCTAAGATGGCTTAATTTGCTAGTTTGTCAGTGACTCAGAAGTCACCCTTACACTGATGAAACATAATCTTCTTGGTTTGTTTAACTGCTCCCACTCAAGACTCTTAGCGTATCAGAGAGGTGTATCTGCCCTGTTGAACTTTGGCATCCAGTGATTCTAAAGGGCTTGAGAGTAAGTCTGAGATGGTATCTCTTTCCCATGTTCAACAAACATGCAGCAAGCCCGTAATGAAAACCACAGCTACCAGTTCAGTAAATCAACAGGCTGAGAAGAGAAATGGTTTGCAAGCCTTTTTTTTACAACACTGACGACATGATCTGCTTAACGGAAACATGTATATATCTGATGGATAATTATGAATAAAACATAGATTTAACCCTAAATAGCTTATGATCCTAATAGGAAGACTAGGCAGAAAACCTTGTCTATCACTATAAACACAGAGACAGAAATAAATACATCCAACACAGATATCCCCAGTTTGAGCTTAGGTTGATGTTAGTTGTATTAAACAAACCCAGAGAAGGATTCCAGGAAGAAGTAAGTTTGCATTTCATAAGCCGGAAGGGCTTGGGGCAGGCAGTTGATCAGTATCTCCAGGTGTACCTCTCACGACATAAAGCTACCCTCCCTGGAAATAAATAAATAGATTATTTCCTTCCCTGGAAATAATCTATGTGCCTTAGGGAATTTATTTCCAGCCAAGATTAGGAACAAGGGGGCTAAATATCACAAGTTGTTCAGAAATTCAGTTGCTAAATCAATGTGTGGTTTTCCCTTAACCTCCCTGCCATGTTTTTTTGTGATGCATAAAAATAAAAATGTTAAAAGAAGTGGAGAAACTTGCATTGAAATACTTGTCACCCTCAAAGACCCTGCTGGAGAGCTATATAAAAATCCACAAGGTCGTCTTAATACTCCAGTAACTCTTACGCAATTGAGCTGGACTAGAGTCGTTCTACCTTATAGCAAAATCTTTCTGCAAATGCACTGTGGCAATCCCAAGCTAATGCAGATTTTCATCGAATGTTATGAGGAGCAACTCATTTCTAAAGGTTCCTATTAGAATGTCTTGCATTCTACAGCCTAGAAAGCGTTATATCCAGAATCACATTTAATTAGCACCATGACCCAGTGGAAAAGATACTGATGGTCTCAGAGAGGTGAAGTAACTGTCCAAGAGGGCAGGCCTAAAACCTAGGTCCTCTCACTTCTACTCTGGTGCCAGTGTTTGGATTGTCAGTTGGTTTTTTGTTGTTGTTGTTTTTGTTTTGTTTTGCTTTTGAGACAGAGTCTCGCTCTGTCGCCCAGGCTGGAGTGCAATGGTGCTATCTCGGCTCACTGCAACCTCCGTCTCCCGGGTTCAAGCAATTCTCTGCCTCAGCCTCCTGGGTAGCTGGGATTACAGGTGCCCACCACCACACCAGGCTAATTTTTTTGTATTTTTAGTAGAGACAGGGTTTCACCATGTTGGCCAGGATGGTCTTGAATTCCTGACCTTGTGATCCACCCACCTTGGCCTCCCAAAGTGCTGGGATTATAGGCATGAGCCTCCACACCCGGCCTGTCAGTTGGTTTTTAATGTCGTCTTGCTGCTGCTAATGCCATTTGTTCACAAAAGAACATAGGACATCTGCCCAAATAAACATTAGCCAAGAGGGAAATGCCAGCAGTCCTAGACCATGGCCAACCCCACAGCATAAAATGCTGTTTAAACACGTTGAACCACACCACGAATGTCCAGTCGGCAACGTTCCAACCGTGGGGAACACAACAGGTCACATGCCCTGGGTTCTGGCAGTCTGCAGACAACAGGAAACTTAAAAGACCTATCGCTTTTCAAATGAGCAACACTAAGCCATAATGTCTAGGTATGCACAGTTGGGTGATACATTATTTTTAAAAACACAGGAAGTGATTACTGTAAAAGGAAAGTGGTGACTTGTTGGGGAAGAGAGGAGACTGATTGGGATAGGGCACATGGAAGGAGGGGGTCCGGGGTGGCTGGCAAAGTTCTGTTGATTGATTCGGGAGTTCTTTAAAAGGGTGCTTACTTTCATTTTTAAGTTCTGGGGCACATGTGCAGGCTGGGCGGGTTTGTTACATAGGTTAAATGTGTGCCATGGTGGTTTGCTGCACCTAAAGGGGTGCTTGCTTTATAACAGTTTGCTATATATAGCAAGTGTTATATTTGTGTTGTGAGGTTTCCAGGTTCTTTGCTTTATTTGCAATAAAAACATGTTTTTAAATGCTGTATAGACCTCAGTGCCTCCACCTCCACCACTTCTTCTGTGGTGTGGGAAGAAAACAAGTGATGTGGTGAGAAAGGGACAATGTGGGGATAGATGAGATGCCTGTCATTTCCCTTTCAGATGGGTCTCTGTCCCACAAGAGCACTTAAAATTAAGAGCCAACTCTCCTCTCCATTTTTTTTTTTTTTAAGTTGCTTGTGTTCTGGCAGCAGGGGCTATCGGATTTGAGAGTCAAATTGCTGCAGAGAGTCCCCCTGGGAAGGGAGACTCCAGAAAGAGAGGCCTGGCACTTACTGTCTTGTGGGGAAACCGTGCCAACGGTGTTAAATCAGCAAACGATGGCCGAATGGAGTAGGGCCAACAGTCAGGCCTGAGAATATAGAGGCCCCTAAGATTTCAAGTGAGTAGATTTGCAGCGTGATGGCTGCACTTGCTCGCTCTAGCGCCACCTTTGCCTCGGGCGGTTATATGGCTTCTCAATAATTTGTGGTTTCCTCTGCTGCTGGTAAAATGGGTCTTCCCAGGATTATTGGGAATCCATGTTAAAGTGACTGTAGACCCGGAGCAGTGGCTCATGCCTGTAATCCCAGCACTTTGGGAGGCCAAGGAGGGCAGATCACTTGAGGTCAGGAGTTTGAGACCAGTCTGGCCAACATGGTGAAACCCCATCTCTACTAAAAATATAAAAATTAGTTGGGTGTGGTGGCAGGAGCCTGTAATCTCAGGTACTCGGGAGGCTGAGGCAGGAGGATCACTTGAACCTGGGAGGCGGAGGTTGCAGTAAGCTGAGATTGCGCCACTGCACTCCAGCCTGGATGACAGAGTGAGACTGTGTCGAAAAAAAAATTTTAAAAGTGACTGTAGGTTGCCACTTGGTTTAGTGGTTAGGAGCACAGATTCTGGAAGCAGATTGGCTAAGTTTAAATTCTAGACCCACCATTTGCTGGCTGTATGACTCTGGGTAAGTTACTTAACCTCTCTGTGCCTCAGTTCTACTTTTTAAAAAGGACATTAATACCTACTGCCTAAAGATTTTATGACAATAAAAGGTTAATATTCACAAAGAACTGAGAACAGTGCCATCCATCTAGAAAGAGCTCTACAAATGTTTAGCAAGTAAAAATATTATTTATTAGCACTCTACAAAATGCTTTACAAGAGGCATCTCATGGATTCATCCCAACGGCTCTTTGAGGCAGAAGCTCTCTTACAAAGGCTAGTATGAGATAAATGATACGTATAATTCCATTGACTGGAATCCGGGGGAAATGCAGACTCTTTCTACATTACTACAACCTTCCTCCCAAACTCCTAGCATCCCACAGCCCATCTTCTGCTGTGTTTATGCAGAAAGTGGGGCCAGAGATTCTGGACAGCCACCTCTAAAGTACCAGTGCCTTCACTCTGCACTCATTCTGCTACTGCACGGAGGGGCTGAAGGGAGCCAGGATGCAGCCACCCAGCAGGAGGTCAGCCGGGACACTGAGGTCAGCGTTTGCCACCTTACCTCGTAACTTTTACAAGAGGCCAAACCAAGCAAAGAGGACTGCGGGAAATAGGTGGGGAATAGGGGAGCGTCTCTGGAGCCCATCTGTGTGCAGGTCTCATCCTGAGGTTTTGTTTACAAAATTTTAAATATGAAGACTTGATCATGTGTTGAAGCTGCACATTTTGTAGATTTGAAAATGAAGGATGAAGGGACTTACCAAAGTTACACAGCTACTTAGGAACAAAGCCAGGAGCAGCCCTCAGACAGCCTTTTTTTTTTTTTTTTTTTTTTTTTTTTTGAGACACAGTCTCCCTCTGTCACCCAGGCTGAAGTGGAGTGCAGTGGTGCAATCTTGGCCCACTGCAACCTCCACCCCCTGGGTCCAAGCGATTCACCTACCTTAGCCTCCCGAGTAGCTGGGACTACAGGCATGTACCACCATACCCAGCTAATTTTTGTATTTTCAGTCAAGACAGGGTTCCACCATGTTGGCCAGCCTGGTCTCAAACTCTTGACCTCAAGTGATCCGCCCACCTTGGGCTCCCAAACTGCTGGGATTAGAGGCATGAGCCACAGTGCCTAGGCCCCCAGACAGTATTTCTGCTGGGTCTATGACAATGGCTGGACACTGAGTCAGGCACGTTAAACACAACATCACTTTAACCCTCCAGCAGTGCTTCTAGGTGGCTGTTACCATCCCCATTTTATAGATGAGGAAATCCAGGCTATGTAGCTTACCCAAGATTCCACAGGTAGAACGTGGCAGGGCTGAGATTTAAAGGTAAGTCTGCCTCATGCCAATGCCCAAGGGTGGGATCCATGTTTCAGTGTCTCAGTTGGAAGCAGATGATAAAATTGCATCAGGCTTCAGCTGCCAGTGTTGACCCATTGCCTCAAGGTTGCAGTAGATTGACTGATCCATTTCCCTCATTCACTGGTTCACTCCTCTTCCTCCCCAGGGCCACAGGTACCCACTTGCAGGTTGTGGTGGTCTATTGCTATGACACAATGATGTCAGCACCATTTTAAATGTATCCCAGGAACACAGTGGTGACTCTAAATCATGAGCCCTGACTTGAAATTGTACAAAGCTGACTTTCAGGTTGCACAAGATTTTGATTCTTACAGTCATCCCTACTGAATTCTGAGTGACAGTCACAGGGGAATTGTAGTAGGGATCTCTAGAGGGACAGAACTAATGGGGCAGCTGTATATATTAAAGGGAGTTTACTGAGGAGAATTGACTCACATGATCACAAAGTGTCAAAGAATTTGTGGACACGTTTTACAACCACCACAGTCACTGTTGCCCAGTTATACTGAAGGTCAGCTCCGGGTGTGCAGGGGAACCGTCAGCCACATTCTCGGTCCTGGCTCCCAAGGCTGAGAGTTCTTTAAGGGCAGGGACCATGTCTTGGTCACCACTATAGCCATAGAACCAAGCACAGGACCTGTACATAGTAGGTGTTCAATAAATGTTTGAGACATAAAATAGATAATTAACAAATTGAGAGTATGAAATAAGTAGATCCTATTAATTATGATAATAATGAGTTCCAGTGATATGTAGGCCATCTGGAGCTTATCTAAGCTCACCTACTAACTAGCTGAGTAATGTCGTGCAAGTTGTTTGCCCTAGAAGGCCTCTAGGTTTAGAAAGAGGCTCTTTATGGTTTCTCTGAGCTCTAACTAGCTCTAGTAAAAAGTATATACATATGTCTCATGAAAAGGCTTTGCAGCTTCTACCACCAAGACAAATGCTGAGGCTCTCCCCTGCCATTGCTTCCTGACCGAGGCTTCCTCTTCTCCTTGCAGATTGCGCTGCTCCCCAACAATGCAGCTGACCTGGGCAAGTATATCACCGGTGACAAGGTGCTGGCCTCAAACGCCTACCTTCCTGGACCTCCTGGCCTGCCTGGGGGCCAGGGCCCACCTGGTGAGTGTAGAGGAGGGCACAGGAGGGTGATCACCATCAGAAAAAGCCTTCCAAAAGCTCACATTTGCTGGGGGCTGGACAGTGTTCTCCAGCCTCCATCGAGGAGAAACGAGGCAGGTGTCCATAGGGCTGCCACACACCCAGGCAATGAGAGGACCTTGGGAAATAGCCCCTCAAGCCTGAGAAACCCTCATAGCCAATAGCAATTTGGGAGAAAAAGGTCATTGTCCTGGGATTGGATAAGATTCCTAAAGATCATTTTAAGTTAAAAAAAAAAAAAAAAAGAAAACTATCTTAAACTTTTTTCTGGAAAAATGTTAACATATACAAAAATGGAACAGTATTATGAAGCCCCCCCTGCTCGGGGCTCCTCGCCCAATTCTAACAACTCAGAGCCAGCCTCTTCCTGCTACTCCCCAGTCTTCCTTCTACCTTCCCTTATTTGTTTGCATATTTATACCTATATTTATTTTTATACCTAGCTATACGTTTTTCCAAGTCTACTGTATTGACATACAGGTGATATATAATGTACTCGTTTAAATTACAGTTTGAGTTTTAACAAATGTATTTACCCATCTAACTCCTATCCTACATTTCAAGATATAGAACATTTCTATCACCCTGGAAATCTCCCTTGTGTCCATGTGCATGTGTCTGCTTCCCCAACCCCTGGTCTAGGCAGACACTGAACTGCTTTCTTTCACTGTGGTCTCACCTGTTCTAGAACTCCATATCACTGGAATATTTTAATTTATATATATATATATATGTTCTTGTGAATGTATACTTTCAGCTTCTTTCATTCAGTATGCTGTTCCTGAAGATTCACACTTATTAATTGGGTGAAAATCCCAAACATCCTATCATTTCATCGGGAAATATACAATGAAAACTTAAAAAAATAGTTCCAAGTTATTTTATATTTTGAGTACCTCCACAGATAGAGCAATGGATTTTTTTCTCCACACTGGTAAGGGAAATGACATTAATGTTAGCAAATGATTCTAAACCTTTGAGTGCCTTATCCCTGGCTATCATTGCTTAGCGGTGTGCTAGGTGTTATGAATGACCTCTTGACATCCGAATTGGGAAGACCAGACATATAGAGCCAATGCAAATAAATAAAACAGTATCCACATGCCCTCCAGGTAAGTGCACAGATGCTTCCTGCTGTGGGAGCTGGTAGGGAGTGAGCACTGTAGCCTGCAATGGTCAGCGGCATTTAGGTTTGATCTGGACGTGGGAGACTGGTAGAAATTGCCCAGAGAAGGACACAGGTGGATTTTCAGTTGGAAAGTCAGCAAGAACAAAAGGTCAGAGTTCTTCACAGAGGGTCGGTGTGTTTCCTCTCCACTTATGTCTTGAACTCTTCAAACACAAACCTGGATCTCAGTCCGTCCAGAGAATAAGATGGTTCAGGATTTGGTTTTTCTTCGTTCATTCCCTTGGCCTGAGGTACTCTGGGTCATGGTGGAGTTTTCTCCAGCAAATGCTTCACACAGGCCCCCTCTGGCTGCTTCTAAACAGACTGGCGTCTCTCCTTATAAACTGCTTCCTAGCACGGTGCTCTCCACCCTCCTCTAAGAGAATGCTCTTGCTTTGCTTCTCTAGAGGAAGTCAACTCCAGGCTCTAGATCACTAGAACAAAACCAACTGTAGGAGCAGGGGAGCCACTGGCTGTCTTGCTTAATAAATGCCTTGCAAGCTTGCTACTCCAATGCTGCCATATGGCTTACAACATGGTTTGAGCTGTCCAGGGTCCTTGATGGAGCAGAGAGTGATTGAGGATGAATAAGCTTTTGCAACATACCCAGCCTTTGAATGGGGACATTCCAAACCCATTTCCTTCTCTCTCTTAACTTTCAGTGTTTGTGGTACCCACCATTGAGACTTAGTAGGGAAGCTAGAAAGCTAATAGGCTTTCTCTCGCCCTTAAATTAAAGTCCAGTTCCGAGGCCTGTGGTGAATCAGACTGGAGCACCAATACAGGAAACTACTCTGGGTTGGAATCTGTTTAGCTTTGGTGGTAAGGGGGCGGCTGCTGCTTTCTGGCCTCCACTGCCATATATAAGGTGCTACCATTTGTACATCAAAGGCCCACATTTCAAAGGCACTTGACATACTATGATCTCTGTAGTGTACTGACTATGAAAATCTAGCTGAGATATCTCTGGCCTCTTTTATGTGCTACTGGAGGTAAAATATTTAGTAAAAGGAGAGATCTGGCACCCTTTCCAAACTCATTGTAGATATACCTGGAACCAGTATTAAGAGTAGGGGTATGAGACATGTTTGGATGGAACACTGACTGCTTTTAACTTTGGCTTAATTATTCTGTGTACTAAAAAAGACTTATCTAAATATGAAAAGTCTAAAGTATCTGTTTCTTTGTTTCATGTGCTGGAGTCTGAATGTCATTCCATCTTGTCACTGCTCTGTCAGTACTAGGCGTTAGGTATGGTCAAAAAGTAATTATTATGTCCGTTTAAAAGAACAATTATGAGACAAGTATAGCATAGCAATCTTCTCAGTCTCTTCAATGCAATCACTTGATAAAAAGCATTTACTAAGCAGCCTACTATGTATCCAGGACTATCTGAGGATATGCTAATAAATAAGACACAATTCAAGCTCTCACAGAGCTGATGATCTAAAATGGGTTAAAACACAATGTCCTTCTGCATGCAGAAGAATGAGGTTGGACCCTTACCTTACACCATCTGCAAAAATTAACTCAAAATGGATTAAAGAGTGAAATGGAAGACCCTAAAACTATGAAAATCCTAGAAGAAAACATAGAGGAAAGCTTTATGACATTGGATTTGGTGACGATTTATTGGATATGACCCCAAAAGCATAGGCAGCAAAAGCAGTAGATAAATGGGACTACATCAAACTTAAATTTCTGTGTCTCAAAGCGAAAATCAACAGGGCAAAAACAACCTACAGGATGGAAGAAAATAATTGTAAATCATATATCTGATAAGGGGTTAATATCTAGGATATATAAGAACTTCAATATTCAACAAAAAAAGCAACTGATTAAAAAAGATGGGAAAAGGACTTGAATAGACATTTCTCCAAAGAAGATATACAAATGGCCAAAACCCATATTAAAAGATACTCAACATCACTGATCATTAGAGCATTGCAAACCAAAACCACAGTGAGATACCACCCCACACCCATTAGGATGGCCACTATTTTTGAAAAAATACAAGCTTGGGAAACACAGGGAGACCCTGTCTAATTAAAAGAAAATTTAAGCTAGCCAGGCTATAGTCCCAGCTACTCAGGATGCTGAGGTGTAAAAGATGGCTTAAGCCCAGGTGGTCGAGGCCACTGTAAGCCATGAACATAACACTGCATTTCCAGTCTGTGTGACAGAGCAAGACAGCATCTCAAAAAAAGGGGAAAAAAAAAACCAACAAAATAAATATTGACAAGGATATGGAAAAATTGGAACCCTGTGCACTGTTGATGTGAATGTAAAATGGTTCAGTCACTGTGGAAAAGAGTGTGGAGATTCCTCAAAAAATTAAACATATCAGGAGGCTTAAGCAGGAGGATCACATGGGCTCAGGAATTCGAGGCCAGCCTAGGCAACAGAAACCCTAACTCAAAAAATATCTATATCTATAACTATATCTATAAATGAGATCCAGAAATCCCACTCCTGGGTATATACCCCAAAGAATTAAAAGCAGGATCTTGAAGAGATGCTCGCACACCCATCTTCATAGCAGCACTTTTCACAATAGCCAAGAGGCTGAAGCAACCCAAGTGTCCATCAATGGATAAGATGGAAAAACAAAATGTGACATACACATACAATGGAATATTATTCAGCCTTTAAAAAGATGGAAATTTTGATGTAGGCTACAATATAGATGAATCATAAGGATATTGGGTTAAGTGAAATAAGCTGGTCAAAAAATGACACATTAATTATATAAGGTATCTAAAATAATTAAATTCATAGAAACAGAAAGTAGAATAGTGGTTACCAGGGGCTGAGCAGAGTGGAAAATGGGGAGTTATTCAGTGGTCTAGAGTTTCCGCTTTACAAGATGAGAAAGTTACAGAGATCTGTTGCACAACAATGGGAATGTACTTAACATTACTAAACACTACATTTAAAAAATAGTTAAGATGGGCTGGGGTCCGTGGCTCACGCCTGTAATCCCAGCACTTTGGGGAGGCTAAGGTGGGCAGATCACTTGAGGTCAGGAGTTCAAGACCAGCATGGCCAACATGGTGAAACCCCGTCTCTACTGAAAATACAAAAAATTAGCCAGAGGTGGTGGTGGGCACCTGTAATCCCAGCTACTTGGGAGGCTGAGGCAGGAGAATTGCTTGAACCCGGGAGGTGGAGGTTGCAATGAGATAAGATCGCACCACTGCACTCCAGCCTGGGTAACAGAGCAAGACTCCATCTCAAAAAAAAAAAAAAAAAAAAAGGTGGCAAATTTTGTGTTGTGTATTTTTTATCACAAGTTTTTAAAAATGCTCGCCAGGTCCCCACTGTCTCTTCCCTTATCCCCCCAGCTGATGTTCAAGGCCTAAAGCAGAGGTGAACATGCTGATGTCTGCACCCAGGTGCTGCCCCAGAGTATACATAACCACAGCCCTTGAGCCGGCAAGATATCCCCTCGAGTCCCCGGTGTGGGCAGACATGCTGTGTTCCACACACAAGTGGGGAAACGCCGCAAACCCAGCCCAATACAAAGCGGCTGTTTACAACTCTGTCTGCTGTGGGTCAACGTAGACGACGCCTAAAGGACTCTTCCCCATCAGCTTCCATAATAGGGTGGTATGACCATTTTTTGGCACACATGCAAGCGACTATTATCAGACAGGCATGAGAACAGATGACTTGTTGTTAAACTCGGTATAGTCTCAGTGCTGTGTCAATACAGGCCTCTGAAAAGAATTAAAAAACAAAACCCCTCAGCCTCTACAGAGATGAGCAGGTCGCATGGATACATAGAAGGGAGCTGGGCAGGAGCAGTTGGAAGCAACGGAACTGAACCAAATGGAGAGCACTCACCCCACGTAAAGGGGCCGCCCCTACTGAGAACTCCAGTTGGTTGGTTGTGCTGCTGATGGAATTGTGGTTTTTGTGCTTCCTGTTTGAAACCAGAGCCAGGCACCCAGATTTTTATATGAAATCTCCCAATTTTTATTTTTATTTATTTATTTATTTATTTTTGAGATGGAGTCTTACTCTGTTGCCTAGGCTGGAATGCAGTGGCACAATCTCGGCTCACTGCAACCTCCGCCTCCCAGGTTCAGGAAATTCTCCTGCCTCAGCCTCCCAAGCAGCTAGAATTACAGGCCTGTGCCACCAAGCCCAGCTAATTTTTGTATTTTTAGTAGAGATGGGGTTGCACCATGTTGGCCAGGCTGGTCTCAAACTCCTGACCTCAAGTGATCTGCCCACCTCAGCCTCTCAAAGTGCTGGGATTACAGGCATGTGCCACCACACCTGGCCCCGATTTTTAAATGTTAAGAATGCTCGGAAGAAAATGATATGCATAAACAGAAAACACATGTGCAGTGCATGAATGTATATAAACATGCATAAATTATACTATAGATATACTGCAAGCGTGTGCAATGAAGTAAGCAATTAATTCTTGCTTTCAGAGGCCTGTATCGACACAGCACTGAGACTATGCCAAGTTTAACAACAAGTCATCTATTTTTGTGCCTGTCTGATGATAGTTGTTGGTACGACGGGGGAGATGTTAAAATGTTTTTGGAGACAGGTGATCTGTGGTGATGGAGACAAGGCACAAAAGGAGAGAATAGTGGGAGCTGGATTGTGTGCCATGGCATGGTTTATTCAGGGAGGATGGGACTGTGGGGCGATTAGGAAAGAGGCAATTGTGGGAAAAATGCTGCCAAGAAGGACAAGCATGAACAAGGATACTATGCTGAGGAGTTGGAGCTTTATTCTCTACGCAGAGGGGAGCCGCTGTAGGGTTTTATTTTAGATGGTTCGATATTATCTCACCTCTTTTGGATACTTCATTTTATTTTCCTCTTTGTGATTCTCTTTGAGTAACTATTGACTTATCTTTAAGTTCACTGAGTCTTTGCTCAGCTGCGAGCGGTCTGCTGATGGGCTTATATCATTTTCATATATGATGTTGTATTTTATATTTCCATTTGACTTTTTTCCTTTAATTTCCATCTCTCTGCTAAAATCCCTCATCTGTTCAGAGAAGCTGTTTATCTTTTCCACCAGCCCCTTTCACATACTGTTATTTTAAAGCCCATATCTCATTATTCCGACATCTGGGTCCCCTCTGAGGCTTGTCCTGCTGATTGTTCTATCACTTCTATCACTTGACAATGGGTTTTTTGTTTTGAATTTTTTTTTTATTTTATTTTTATTTTTGAGATGGAGTCTCACTCTGTCACCCAGGCTGTAGTGCAATGGTGCAATCTTGGCCCACTGCAACTTCTGCTTCCCAGGTTCAAGCAATTCTCCTGCCTCAGCTTCCCGAGTAGCTGGGATTACAGGCACCCACCATCACATCTTGCTGATTTTTGTATTTTCAGTAGAGGTGAGGTTTCACCATGTTGGCCAGGCTGGTCTCGAACTCCTGACCTCAGGTAATCCATCCGCCTAAGCCTCCCAAAGTGCAGGGATTACAGCATGAGCCCCTGTGCCCAGCCCTTTTTTCTGTGTGCCTGAAAGTTTTGGATTGAATGCCAGACATCATTTGCAGAGAAACAGTAGAGACTGAGGTATGTAGTTATCACTCCTGGAGATGAGTACCCTCTTCTTTTGTCAGGCCACTGCCATGGGAAGTCAAGTCAGCCTACTGAATAACAGCTGGGTTTTGGCCTTATTGTCACTACATTTACTTTGTGTTCCACAGTCTTCAAATAATTCCTCCAGTGGTAGGATGCTGTTACCTTATGCTTAGCGGATGCCTAGGTTACCAGTGGATTTTTCTCAGTGTTTATACTCTGAGCTTTCTGCAGCCTCTACACACACATACCTGTGCCACAGAGGGGTTCTGTCCCCACACTGTTGCCCTTCCGCCAGTGGTAGATTGCTATTACTTCATGCTAGAATTGTGGGGCAAGGGGACATTTTCAGTTCTCCTGCTCCAGCTGCAACCCTAAGCATGACCTATGCTTCTGGGCCTTGGGGTGAGATGATCTTCCCCACATCCCCTGACTCATCCCCCAGCATGCCTTCCATCCCTGGCAAATCTTGGCCAACGAACATTTCCTACCCCTCACTAAGAAGTAAGGGATATTTCTCTGGGGCGTGCAAGAAAGAGTGAGTTTGCTAACCCACCCAGTGCCTTGAGACATCTGCACCAAAAGGTTGAAAGTAGGTGGGTTACATAGTAAGACTTGTTTTAGATATGTCATCCCTATAGAAATGTCAAAAATGGGCGAGGGGTAGACAAGGCTGCCGGGAGGCAGAGAGACTAGCAATGAGGCAAGAGTCAAGGCAAATATAAGGAAGGCCTAACAGATTTGTTTTAGTACTATGTGGGAAGTACTATACTAAGTGGTGTGTGTATATCTGAAATCTCATTGAATACAACTACTCCATAAGGAAGATTTTTATTAGCCCAGCTTTACAGACGAGATGAGAAACTAAAGCTCAGATAGCTCGGGCAACTTGTCAGATTCAAACCCAAGTCTCCCTGATGCTAAAACCTGTCTCTTAACTGCTGTCCTGCCGCGATCACCACTTCTCTGCTGTGGTGGCCACTATCGGCTGTGGTGGCCACTATCGGCTGTGATCCAGTGGAGAGAAGGGAGCAGACAGCTGTGAGATGTTAAAGAAGTAAAATGCACAGGAGCTGGCCACTGATTCAAAAACGAGGTTGCAGAAATGGGGAAATATAGAGGAAGACTCTCCAGGTTTTGGCTTGAGTGGATGGGTGACTGGCGGTCTGTGAAAAGAGAGGAAGATGGGGAAGCTGCTTTTGACCATATCAAGTTTAAAATGCCCGTGGGACATCCTGATGCAGATGTCAGAAGGCAAAGGCAGAGAGAGTACAAAGAGAAATGACTGCAGGGGCCCGGGACTCTTGTTAGCCAGGGCCCTTCATCCTTCTCATGTGCTGTGAGCTAATGAGGTGTTCTTTGATTACAGGCTCACCAGGACCAAAGGGGAGCCCAGGCTTCCCCGGTATGCCAGGCCCTCCTGGGCAGCCCGGTCCACGGGGCTCAATGGGACCCATGGGACCATCTCCTGATCTGTCCCACATTAAACAAGGCCGGAGGGGCCCTGTGGTCAGTATCTTATCAGAGATCCACTTCCTGTTTGGGGGAAAATGTGTTTTTGTCCCATGCTTTTCCCTGTGGTTAAACCAGATCCTTTTGTATTGTAGGGTCCACCAGGTGCACCAGGAAGAGATGGTTCTAAGGTAAGCCTTATGAGTGGTCCTCACAAGCTAAAGGTCTCTCACGTTCGATTTTGTTTTGTTTTGTTTTTTTGAGATGGTCTTGCTCTGTCACCCAGGCTGGAGTGCAGTGGCGCAATCTTGGCTCGTTACAACCTCTGCCTCTCGGGCTCAAGCCCAATTCTCCTGCCTCAGCCTCCCAAATAGCTGGGACCACAGGCATGTACCACCACTCCCGGCTAATTTTTGGATTTTTTAGTAGAGATGGGGTTTCACCGTATTACCCAGACTGGCCTTAAATTCCTGAGCTCAGGTGATCTGCCTGTCTCGGCCTCCCAAAGTGCTGGTATGACAGGCGTGAGGCACCACTCCTGGCCTGAAGGTCTCTCACATTCTACCTCTTGCACTGACATCGAGGAAAGCTTACCAGTTACTGTTTACCATCCCCATTTTGCATGCAGCAAAAGTGAGACACAGACACCAGATACAACTTTTTCCCCAAAGCTGGGAACAAAATCTGAAAAGCCATTTTCTTAAATTCTGAAACCAACCCCAAAGACAAAAACCACCACCACAACCGGTCATAGGAAAAATGACCCCTATAAATTTTAAATGAGCCTCTGCATTGTGATACTCACATGTGTTTTTCTCTTTAACCAGTGTTGCTTTACAGGACAGCGTTTTGTGTGTTTCCATTTCTGTGAGATTTTCAAGTCAGGGACAGGAGATGCTCCATTCTTTCTGCAAGCAGGGTGGTTCCCCTCTGAGAGCCGCCTTCTCTTTTTTGCCTCACAAAGAAGTCAGTGTGAGATATTTCAGAAAGTTTGTTACTGCACATGCTGCTGGGAAATACGAACATTCCTCTTGCCAGGAAGGTTTGAAAATATATGGGCTCAAGGGAAATCAGAATGAGAAACACTTGACCCAAGCAATCTTGTTCAAATCAGTGGTCCCGTGAGTCCAGCTCAGTTTTACATATGTTTTCTATAGAAAATATTTGTTGTTTTGTGCAGGGAAGTGGTTATGGTGGGTGTATAAATAGAGACTATTGTTGTGGTATCCATGTGCTCTAGAAAGCTAACCCTGGCCTTTCTGTTTTTAGGGGGAGAGAGGAGCGCCTGGGCCCAGAGGGTCTCCAGTAAGTAGCATTCTGTGTCCTGCTTCCCCAGGGGAACATTCTCAGGGATGCAGCTCTGATGAGCCTATAGGTCAGTCTAGTAGCAAAGGCCCGCCCCTTCCTGATGCCACTCAGCCCACCTGAGCAGAACTTTGTGGTTAGGAAGACAGTCATAGAAGACCTTAGCTGCTAGTTTGGATTTATTTTTCAAACTTGTTTTCTGTTGTTGTTTTTTCTTTTATCATGGCTAATCTTCATTTAAAATGTCTTTCCTAAAGCTCAAAACCCTACTATGCCATGAGTCTGTTTCCAAGTTTTCTCATAAAATGTTTTATGAGTCTGTATCATAAAACATTTGAAAGGTCTAGGAAAGAAATCTATAGGTTTAAATCATAACTCTGCATACTTGAGAATTTAGCCACTGCTACAACCCTAGCCGGTCAGATGCCCATCTCCTCTTAAAAAGCGCAAAACCATGCAGGGCTGTTTAGGATCTGAGAAGAAATTAGCTGCATATATGCATAGTGTCTGGGAGATTAAAAATGAGAAATAGTAGTATTCAGAAGCACAGAAAATTCAAACCACTTCACTGCTTCTGAAGAAGTATCATTTCTGAAATCCAAAAGCTGTGGCCACAGAGGTGGAAGTCGTGGGTTCCCATCTCAACTCTTCTACCTGCTAGCTTTCTGACCACGGCACATCACTGAGGGTCTCTGGGCATCATTCCCCCACCTGTGCAGTGGCAATAGTGGAATCTGACCTGCCATCCCTCAAGTGGCTATTGTGAGGGTCAAATGATATGAAAATCCTATGCCTGTCTTAGTGCTTTACCATGTAAGCTCTGCTTCCATAGTGCCTGCTGCTGCTGCAGCAGTTGTGGGAAGTGATAACAATTTTATTACAAACTTCTGACAAGCCCAGAACATGCGTGTTTATGCATTTCTTTTTTACCATGCCCCACACAGCACTCTATAAAATTAAGGCTTAGTAAATACTATATGATGATAAAGGATACTCAAGACATAGAAAAATTAGGAAGCTTTTGTTTGGACCTTTCCTAGATGATAAGGAGTTGACGTCTTTACAACATCCTCTCAACCTCATTTAGTTTGTGCTTATAGTCGGCCATCTTATAAACATTTTAATAATTTTGAGACAGGGTCTCACTCTGTTACCCAGGCTGGAGTGCAGAGGCACAATCTCGGCTCACTGCAGCCTCGACCTTCTGGGCTCAAGCGATCATCCACCTTAACCTCCCAAGTAGCGGGGTCCACAGGTGCCCACCACCACACCTGGCTAAATTTTTGTTAATATTTTTTGTAGAGACAGGGTTTCACCATGTTGTCCAGGTTGGTCTTGAACTCCTGGGCTCAAGCTATCTGTCCACCTTGGCCCCCCAAAGTGCTAGGATTACAGGTGTGAGCCACCACTCCTGGCCCAGATAATGTTTTGAATACATATTATGTTCAAAGCGCTTTACATGCATTTACTTATTTAAATCCTCACTTATGAACCCTATAAAACCCTATGAAATTGGGACTATTATTATCCCCATTTTACAGATATGGAAACTGAACCACAAGAAATTAAGACCACACAGTAAGCAGCAGAGATGAGATTCAAACCCAACAGAACCCCAGTCTCTTAACCACTGCTCTGCTGCCTTCATAAGCATCTTCCAGACTGCTTTGGAAAGTAACTTAGGAGAGTTGTCTTATGTTCTTTCCTCTACTGGATTTGATAAAGCCTAGAGTTAGGAGGGAGGAAAGGTGAATACATCACCAAAGCTCATCTGAGAAGTGACAGAATTAGAAAACAATGTGGAGGACCCCCAGGCTCCTGTAGCAGTCCTCACATTGACTCCATTTGGGGCACAGTTATTGAGAAAGGAGTTGCCAGCAAGCAGCAGGTCAAGTCATGGAGCCCCGGAGGCCATTGCTGTCTGTCATATTCTAGCTTTGATTCCTCCCATGTACACAGGGACCCCCTGGTTCTTTCGATTTCCTGCTACTTATGCTGGCTGACATCCGCAATGACATCACTGAGCTGCAGGAAAAGGTGTTCGGGCACCGGACTCACTCTTCAGCAGAGGAGTTCCCTTTACCTCAGGAATTTCCCAGCTACCCAGAAGCCATGGACCTGGGCTCTGGAGACGACCACCCAAGAAGAACTGAGACAAGAGACTTGAGAGCCCCCAGAGACTTCTATCCATAGCACATCCCAACACCGTCATGCCAAAGGAAGAGAAAGATCAACTCACCTGCAGTTAAACCATCTAAAGAGAAAAAGACACCACTGGAGACCTAGAAAACATACATTTTTCTCTTCTCTTCTCCTGACATCTCTCTATTCCTCTTCTTCCAGATACAATACTATTTTCAGAGTCCCCTCCTAGGCCTGCAGACACATGGGAGTGAATGATTGATTTACCTGCTGCTTACTAAGAGTTCATTGGAGTGGTTTGCATTGTAACTTTTCATTTACATCCTATTTTTCCAGGAACTTTGGATTTTAGGTACTCTCACAGTGTCTTAAATCATAAATTCTTCAAGTTAAATTTGGCAGAGTATCAAAAGGGAAAATGGCAAAGTGAGCTCTAAGAAAATGTGAGGCTACTTCTAAGATGTGTATTCAGAATAGACCGTAACTCCTCTAGTATCAAAATTAGGGCTCTTCAGTTAAAAAGGGGTGGAGAGGACAAACGTGTAGATGTACTTTGGTGGAGAATTCTTTTTCCTTGTGCTTCCAGTAGATTTTAAATATTGTATGCCCTTGTCAAACGTTTCCCAAATTCAATTAAAGAGAGGAGAGAACTGAATGACATTTAGAGAAGATAGAAAAGAATTACAGTCATATATTTACTGTTACATAGATTGCCACATTCTAAAATTCAAATATGGTGCTTAAGGTTTCATGCCATGCTTATCTGTAAGTATCCTATTTAGGGAAGAAGATTAAATCCTCTTTTCAAAAAACAAAGGGAAATGCCTGGATTCACATTAAAACAGTGGGCTCTGGTTTGCTAGAATATTTTAAAGCTGTTTAATCAAGAGTGGAGCCTGCTGTATACATCACAGATTATTTGTTCAATAAAGTGGCTGACCTTAGAGAGAGGCACAGAATTCCTGGTTCTGAGCAGGTGCCATGATCCAGGCTGAACCAATACACAGTGGGGCTGAAGGCCGCAAGGAAGTTGCTGGCTTGGGTTGACCTCACTAACGCCATCAGCAGCAGTAGGTAAATTTGCTCTCCTTGGGTGTTACAAGTTTGTGTCTGGAGCCAACCAAGCTTGCCACCAACATATTGAGAATAATACACTATTGAAAGTTATCTTGGATGGGGAGAAAAAACAGTGGTTTTCCTTGTTTGCAAAAACTTCCTTCCTATTCCCATTTTTTCCTTCTTTCATTTAGTCCAAGTTCCAGTTCTTTCAGGCATTTTCTTTGATTTCTTTTCCCCTGCATGTGAGAAGCAGTTCAGAAAAGGGTCTATTTCTCCACCTCCTAGTGAGTTAGAGTGTTTTCTCAGAGCACCTCTGGGTCCCAAAGGGAAGCATGTTCCTGCCAAGGTTTGTTGTGCATTCAGAAGCACCAGGAGCAAGAGACCAGAAGGATGATCTGCTCCTTTGTAACGTTGTTGAGGGTGCTCTTGGTTCCAATGAGCAGCTTATAAGTTACTCACAGTCCACTTTCTCATTGGACACACAAAGTGGCTGTTCATCTGCCTTTGCGGGAGACTTTCACTCTTCTATTGAGCTTCACAAATGATCGTTCTCACACTCATATTCGCTCATGTTGGAATTTCCCATCCTGCCATGTCCTTTCCTATTTCTTTTTGGCTTTTTTGCCTCCACCTTTCAGCCCACATCACTGAACTCCACTACTGTGAAAGCTTGCTTAAAGAAAATCCCTCTTGGCTGGGCATGGTAGCCCACGCCTCTAATCCCAGCCCTTTGGGAGGCTGAGGCGGGCAGATCACAAGGTCAGGAGTTCGAGACCAGCCTGACCAACATGGTGAAACCCCGTCTCTACTAAAAATACAAAAATTAGCTGGGCATGGTGGTGCATGCCTGTAATCCCAGCTACTCAGGAGGCTGAGGCAGGAGAATTGCTTTAACCCGGGGGCAGAGCCAAGATTGCACTACTGCACTCCAGCCTAGGCAACAGAGCAAGACTCTTAAAAAAAAAAAAAAAAAAAAAAAAAAGAATATCCCTCTTGTTGTGTTTGAATGCCACCTTTCAGTCTTCTCCCTTAAGAATGATAGGAAGGGGCTTTGCAAATCTCTAGTGGCAGCAGTCTTCCTTCCCTTCTTCCTACCATGTTGGAAATGCAGGACTCATGTCAGCGTGTGGCTGAGTCTTTGATGAACACGTTGCTCCTCTATGTCTCATTTATGCAAAATTCCTGGTGACTGTCCACTAGCATTTTTAAAGTGAAAGCAAACACATTCTTAGTGCTCTTTTTCTAGCATCTTTTCTTCCTCCTTCTCTCTGCAAAATTCAACATTCATGACAGAAGGTCACGCCAACCACGGGTTTATAAAGAGAGGAAGTGAACAGCTGTTGATTTCCATCTGGATATATTTAATGTTTGCCTGCTTGTGGAGCATGGTATTTAAAGGGTGTGAATGGATGAATGCTTTTAAAACACACACACACACACACACACACACACACACACAATGATGCACAAGCTGTATGAGAGATGGCTAGGTCCATCTGTGATTTTTTTTTTAATGAGGAATTTTAATACCCTTTCTTTGACAGTGAACTGTATTTAGACATATGACCTTTATTGTGAAATGCTCATAAAATGCAACCAAACTGCATGTTTGGCCATAGGCTAGAATAATATATTAAAAGAATTAATGGAAAGTAGTATTATCTGGATTTCATGAAACTATTCCAGATAATATTCTCCAGCAAAACTTATAGTAACCTGTATTTTATAACATCAATCTGCTGGACCAATTTAATTTAGAAAATAATTTTTAATCCTCAGATTTTCAAAACTTGGACTACTGCAAGACTGATGTGTACTCTTTATGCCCAAATTTTATTTTTCAAAGATAGGACATCATAAGGCATCATTATTTCTAATGTATCTTTTAGCTAGATAGAAAAAGCTTTACTGTTTAAATAGGACTTCTGCTCAAAACCTAATGGGAAAGCTATTTCTGGGGTAAGATTTGCTACAGTGCATTTCATGTTTTATAGTGAAAAAGATGTTTGTACACCTCCTCAACCTGTTAGTAGAAATGTTGACTTCGATTTTTGCACCCTCTTCACAGGACCTCCTAAGTTACCTCTGTTCTTGGAAAGCAATGGGAATAAAAAATACGCTGTTAAGAATATACTACATGGGGCCAGGCACGGTGGCTCACGCCTATAATTCCAACACTGGGAGGCTGAGGCGGGCGGATCATGAGGTCAGGAGATCAAGACCATCCTGACCTACATGGTGAAACCCCATCTCTACTAAAATACAAAAAAAATTAGCCGGGCGTGGTGGCACATGCCTGTAGTCCCAGCTACTCGGGAGGCTGAGGCAGGAGAATTGCTTGAACCCAGGAGGTGGAGGTTGCAGTGAGCGAAGATCGCGCCACTGCATTCCAGCCTGGCGATAGAGTGAGACCCCATCTCAAAAAAAAGAAAAAAGAAAATAGTACATGGAGGGCATGCATTTTAGTTTAGGAACACCCCCCTCCCTTCCCAGTTCCAGAGGGAGAAATTATAACCTATACTGTGCCAAAAGTGAGTGGGGCTGCAGAGAGGATAGTGCCTTTTCTCACCTTCTGAGTTAATGCCCAACATCTGCCATAGGATTTATTGACCAAAGGAAGTCATTTCTACTGTATAAACTCAGACAGGTGTGTCATAGCCCAACAGGTAAATAATAAATGTTCATTGGTTTTGGAAGGAAGGAGAGGGGAGAATTACCCCACCAAATACCAGTGAAGAGCACCCTGGCTTCGGTCATCTTTCCAAGGTTCATAATTACTGTGGGCCTGGTGAGCCCTGTTCCCAGGGCTGCAAGGGAAGGCTCCCCCAAGCCAGACATTGCTGTGGGTTTTCAGGCAGCAACTCCCCCATCATATTTTGGGTGTTACTCCCCACTGTCTCTCCCCACATCTCAGCCTGTGCCTCAGAAACCACCACAGCAGCCTCAGTCTGCAGACTTAACATCTTTCAGATAACCTTCCTGAAAAGGAAAGTTATTGCAGGAATCCAGGCCAAACAGCAAGTAGAATAGAGCCATCTAAAGTTATTAATAATGAGTTCAGGGAAATAGATGAATTTTTTCCTGGCACAGTCAATATTTGTATCTTACAACAAGTCAAAAAATAATTTTCCATTTGGAAAACAAAACACACCATGACTGTGATTGTTAAGGCATATAATCATGAACTTCACATGCTCCCTCAACAAATGTTACTGCTCTAGGGAAATCATAGAAAAGGACCCTCTTATTCCCCAGGGGATCAAAGCAAGTCCCCTTAGGAATTTCATGTGTGCCATGGGTCTGTTTTTATTTCACAGGGACTAGTCATGTACTGGAGTAGCTCTGTTGTTCATTATTTGTAACAGGTCCATATAACAGTCAAGCTAGCATTCAAACAATTGTGGATGTGATACTATGACGTACTTTTGATATGATTGTATATGCTTAATAACAAAGTTATTTTTCTTACATGGCTCTACTGTGTTTTGTCCTGACACCTGGTTTTGTGAAGCAAGTCATCTTTTTACCCAGTTAACAAGGAGATGGAGAGGTGCATTTCTCTTGAGAGCTGGAATCTGGAATCTGGGTCAGCCACCTCCTGAGGTCTGGGTGTGGTCAGAGCATCTGAATCTGAATCAAGGTCTGAAGGCCCGGGTACCACTGAGTGTGGGTCTCAGAGATCCAGTTCCCTAGCTGAGATTCCCAGGGTGAGATTTTCAAACCAAGAACCCTCTAGACGCTCGTTGGAGCTGCCTTAGGAGCTCACAAATGAGAGGCTTGTGAAGACTGAGTGCTCCCTGCCCCCAGCGCTGCACTCACAGTGACTCAGTGTTCAACTAGTTGTCTGTTTTGGATTAGAATTCCACGTAGGATTTCCTCTGGGGGATGCCGTGGCTCATGCCTGTAGTCCCAGACACTGGAGCAAGAGGATCACTTGAGCCCAGGACTTCAAGGCCAGTCTGAGCAACATTGCAAGACCCCATCCCTAAAAAAATAAGTTGTATTAAATGTGGCACTTTCCCCTAGAAGGGCAGAAACCCCAGGAACCAGTCTGCCTTTTTTTGAATAAAGCGTATTTTTAAAAAGAAAAAATTTCCTTTTAGGGTGGGGGGAAAGTTGACTACCTTAAAAATAAAGTTGGAGGGAGGAACTCTCATGAGTTGGTAGCTATAGTCTTCTATGTAAAGATAAGAGAAGGGAAATTTTTGCTAATTGGGCCATATGGGAAGTGTAGTGGTATGATAAAATGAGAGCTTATTTCAAAGGGACTTTAGCCATCCTTAGCAGGGTGCATTTAGTGTCCTGAATTTAACCTGTATTTATACATCTCACTTCAGTTAGTAAATATTTGTAAGTGTCTATTGCAATCTAGGCACTGTGCTATGCACTGCAGACACAATTGGGAGCAAAAACATCTTAATCCCTGTTCTGCTGGGGATTTTTGGCAAAACAGATAAGGATCCTTCCAGACAAAATAATCACTTAAATATGCGATTACAAACCAAAATAAGCTACGAAGTGTTAGGCGCTACAAGAGCCAATAAGGGTTCATGCCAGGGGAGCCCACCCTTGGCTCCGAAATGCACTCCTTCCCAGAGCCGCACGCTCAAAGTAGCCAACAGCATTCAGGCCAGCCACACAGGACCTCATGGCCCCTCCCAGCCTTTCCCATACAACAGCTTTACAAAGGCTCCAGGTGACATAGCAGATTATGGAAATCTGGGAGACAACTTCATATATAATTTTTCCAGCCCTCTTAATTTAATCAACCAAAAGCTGGTTGAGCACTTACAGTCCTCATGGCCTCTTGGCATCTCACTGTGCAGCTGTTGGGTAACATCACGTGTTCCAGTCTTGATTCCCAGCAAAATTTGAGGCTTGCTTCTTCTCGACCAGGACACTGCAGTTTTGACAAAGCTCGCTATGCTTTTGAAGCCCAAAACTTTGAAACACCCCAGCTCAGCTCCATGTGCAAATTTCCACAGGCTTGCTCATGTCTAGATGCAGGGTTACAGGACAGCCAAATGGGAAGTGGCGCTTAGCCACTGGGTGGTCCACAAGGAAAAGGCAACTCTTCCAAGATGTGTGGGTGACGGCAGTTGGATCATAAGATCTGGGGAACTGGTGGAGGGGTGGATGAGTTTCTTAGGCTGCCAAAACAGTATCACAAACTGGGTGGCTTAAAACAACAGAAATTTATTGTATTACAGTTCTGGAGGCTGGAAGTCTGAAATCAATGTGTCAGTAGGGTCGGTACCTTCTGGAGGCTCTTGGGAGCAACCATCTCATCCCTGTGTCATTTCTGGTGTTTGCCCACAGTCTCGGCATTCCTCGCCTCCAATATCACATGGTGTTCTACCCTCCTGCCTCTGCGGCTTCACATGGTGGTCTCCAGCATTCTCCTCTCTAAGTCTTCCGTGTGCCTATTTTATTTTCTTATAAAGATGCTACTAGTGGCCAGGCATTGTGGCTCATGCCTATAATCCCAGCACTTTGGAAGGCTGAGGTGGGCAGATCACTTGAGGTCAGGAGTTCGAGACCAACCTGGCCAACATGGTGAAACCCCATCTCTATTAAAAATACAAAAGTTAGCCAGGCGTGATGGTGCATGCCTGTAATCCCAGCTATTCGGGAGGCTGAGACACAAGAATCACCTGAACCCCAGAGGCAGAGATCACAGTGAGCTGAGATTGCACCGCTGTATTCCAGCCTGGGCAACAGAGCGAGACTCCTTCTCAAAAAAAATAATTTTAAAAAGGTACTACTTGTTGGCTTAATGCGATGTGACCTCATCTCAGTTTAATTATATCTGCAAAGATTATTTCCAAATAAGGTCACATTCTGAGTCTCCCGTAGATAAGAATTTTGAGGGGACACTTCAACCCAGTACAAGAAAGACATTTTCTCCCTATTGACCTTTATCCTGCTTATTTCCTTTAACATCATTTTTTTTCCAACTTGAAATTCTTATTCACTTCATTCAACAAAAACGTATTGAGGGTGAGGATAGAGTATTGAATGGTACAAAGTTCCTGCACTGGTAGAGTATAGCTTCTGGTCCAGGAAGACAAACAGAAATATATGTATCAGTCATGGTTCTTGAGAAACAGCACCAAGAGACAGGGATTTATTTTAAGAAATTGGCTCACACAGCTGTAGATCTGGAATTGGAAAAACTGCCAAGTTGGCAGGCTGGAGACAGAAGAGTTGGCATTGCAGTTGGAGTCCACAGGCTTCCTGCTAGAAGAATTCCTCCTTGCTTGGAAGGTCAGTCTTTTTCTATTAAGGCCCTTAGCTGATTGGATGAGCCCCACCCACATTATGGAGGGTAGTGTGCTTTACTCAGTCTACTAATACAAATGTTACTCTCGTCTAGAAAGTACATTCATAGAAACATCTAAAATATTTGACCAAATATCTGGGTGTTGTGGCCCAAATTTATAGTAAAATTAACCACCACGCTATATATCAGTGCTAAGAAGTGCTGTGGGGAAACGTAATTAGGGTAGAGGAGTGAAAAGTAACAGAAGGACAAGGCAGGGTGGCTCACGCCTGTAATCTCAACACTTTGGGAGGCTGAGGCGGATGGATCACGAGGTCAGGAGATCGAGACCATCCTGACTAACACAGTGAAACCCCATCTCTACTAAAAACACAAAACAATTAGCCAGGCGTGGTGGTGGGCACCGGTAGTCCCAGCTACTCGCGAGGCTGAGTCAGGAGAATGGCGTGAACCCGGGAGGTGGAGCTTGCAGTGAGCCGAGATTGGGCCACTGCACTGCAGCCTGGGTGACAGAGCGAGACTCCGCCTCAAAAAAAAAAAAAAAAAGTAACAGAGAGTGGGAGTGTGTACTTTAGATGGGCTTTCTGGAAAGGTGGTGTAAGAGCAGAGGCCTGGACAAAGGGAGAAGTGAGCCCTGTAGATGAAAGTGATCCATACAGGGATTACAGCCAGACCCTGAGGCTGATCTGCTTGGTGTGCTCAAAGAGTAGCAATGGGGCCACCCATGTTGCTGGAACAGAATAAGTGAAGCAAAATGGGGTAGGAGATGCCTTGCAGAGGCAGACGGGGGCAAGGCAAGGCCTTAAGGCCCTGCAAGAGGACTTTGCATTTCCTAGTGGACACATAGAGAGTTGCTGAAAGGATAAGAATGGGAGTAGGGAAACGCATTCGGAAACTGTTGAAGCAGTGTACTGGTCAGGTGCCAAATCATGACGTTTTAGTCAATGGTAGATCACATATACAACGGTAGACCCCTAAGATTATACGGGAGCTGAAAACTATTTCACCTAGTGACATGACGGCCATTACATAACACAATTACTTTATTTTTAAATAAATTTGGTGTAACCTAAGTGTACAGTGTTTACAAAGTCTACAGTAGTGTAGCAATGTCCCAGGTCTTCACATTCACTCACCGCTCACTCACCCACCTACGGCAACTTCCAGTCCTGCAAGCTGCATTCATAGTAAGTGCCGTATACAGGTGTACCATTTTTTATCTTTATTCAGTATTTGCACTGTACCTTTTCTGTTTTGATACTCAGATACTCACCATTGTGTTATAGTTGTCTGCAGTATTCAATCAATAAAATGCTGTACAGGTTCATAGCCTAGGAACAATAGGTTGTACCATATAGCCTAGGTGTGTAGCAGGCTATACCATCTAGGTTTGTGTAAGTGGTACATCCCATGATGTTCACACAGCAATGAAACACCTAATGAGACATTTCTCAGAATGTATCCCTGTTGTTAATCGATGCATGACTGTACTTGTTTGTTGACTGTCTGCACTATGAGAATTGATACTGTAATTGCTTTTTTGTTTTTGTTTTTGGGGGTTTTATTGAGACAGGGTTTTGCTCTGTCACCCAGGCTGGAGTGCAGTGGCATGATCTCGGCCCACCACAACCTCTGCCTCCCAGGCCCAAATAATCCTCCCATCTCAGACTCCTAAGTAGCTGGGACCACAGGCACAAGCCACCATGACAAGCTGATTTTTGTATTTTTTGTAGAAACAGGGTTTCCCTGTGTTGCCCAGGCTGGTCTCAAATTCCTGGACTCAAGCGATCCTCCTGCCTCAGCCTCCCAAAGTGCTGGGATTACAGACGTGAGCCACTGCACCTGGCAGGTACCGTACTTGCTTATCTGCTTCCTTTCTAGGCTAGAAAATCCTCAGGAGCAGGAACTATTTTTCTACCATATTCCCAGCATCTGCCACAATACCCAGGACACAGTAGGAGTTGAATGAATGTTTACATAATGAATTTAATTCAGTTAATGCATTTAGTCTTCTCAAAATCCCATAAGGTAGATATTTTTGGTATCCTCAATGTATACATATCCTAAGAGGTAAACATTCATAACACACAAGTGTATTTCAGAATATTAATGCACTGTGCTGGTTTAATCCCATCTGATAAACATAGCACAGACACTCAGCCCCACATTCTCTCCCACTTTGGAA